GGGTTCCGTCATCCATCCTAATGGCGGGAGGGCAGAAAAGCCTGATACTTTTTACTTACCCTACACTAGCTAACAGGAAATGTAAAATCTTGCTGGAGTTTGTTTATCTTCACATCCAGCCATGGAACTGCGTATCAGAATTTTGTAACCAGGAAACAAAGCCTGTCCTTGGGCGTCTCAAGCAGTTTCAGATAAAACTTAGAAATTGGGTGTGAATTGAAGCTTGAAGTCTGTCCCAAGGTGCCAGTTTTGTTTTTGGTTTTTTTTTTTTTTTTTTCCCTAGCTGGGTATCTTCTCCTTGGAGACCACGTTTTCGTGGTTGCTGTAGTTTCATCCCAGCCAAGGATAAGAGACAGATGGTTATATTTTCAAGGATACACAAATAGCTTAAAATGTAAAAAATTGAAAGATAAATAATAGCTGTTTTAGAATCTCCCCCTGGGACTGCAGATCAGGAAAGATCTTTGGGAAGGATCTCGAGAGAAATGTAGAAAGATGGTCCCGGGCAGAGTGGGAGAAATGCAGGCAGACACAGTATATCCTTAGTCTTATCTTTTCAGCAGTTCAAATGATGACTTTTGAGATCTTAATATGCATCTGGCATTTGCTTGGTACTTAATGTCCAGAATGTGGCTACAGTAATGGGTAGCAAAGCATGGTCTGCAAAGGAAAAGCCCATTAAGTGGCCTTTTCACTAGTCCCAAATTTTAAAATTGTGTGTGTGTGTGTGTGTGTGTAATTGCCCTGGCAAAATTGAAGTTAAAGCATGCATTCAAGCAGTTATTCAACCAGGTTTCATTTTCTAGTTTTGAGGTTTTTATAAGGTAGGGAGCTACCTTATAAAATCAATTGAGAGATACACAATCAATGAGAGATACACAAATTTCCTAGCATGGAGGTCTTCGAGCCTTGGGAGATGAGGTGGTAATCTTTGTACGGTGGGGTAAATGGGTTGATGATGGTGTTGGAATTCTGGGGGAAGGGAACTTACCTTGAGATCATCCCATGCTTGGACTTGCGTTCCAGCAGATCGCTGTGCTGTCAACAGCAAGTGTATTCCCCGATCATCTTCTTACCCAGGAACTGTCAAACTTGACCTTGAGCAACACGCCTTACAGGCTGGGCGCCCACGAACCACCCGCGGGCTGCCAGCTCAAGCCATCTCAGCCCTGCTGGGAGTGCTCCTACTTTACCTTAGATCCCTAGAAGCAAACTTCTGCTCCAAGTGAGTCTCCAAGGATAGGCCAAGCTGCCGAGATGGCTTTGATTGAACCACGGAGCCTCCAGGTGAGAACACTCAGCTCTTGGGAAGTCCTTGATCTGACTATGCTTGGCCTCCCCTACAGGTGTCAGTCTTCTTTTCCACTACTCCTGCAGAATTTCTTTTTGCAGGAAAAAAAAAATCTCCAAATTATGCTCTTTACGAATTAGTCTGGAATATGTGACTGTTTTGATTATTGTCTTCCAATATCATGATATTTTTATGAACTATATTTTAGGATCATTGATTCCCTTTGTAATTCTATTTACAGTATGAATTTACATACATTATTCCGAGTAGGGGGCCGTAAGTTTCTTCACACTGCTAAAGGATTCTTGGCATAAAAAGATGAAGACATCTCGCTTCAAGCTTGGTGCCTGGGACTGAACGCTGTGTTTCAGGCATGGTCTGGTGAGTGCAGGGACAAACCAGGCCGTCACCTGCTTTCAGTCCTTTAGTACTGTTTAAGTCCACTTGAGTGTCATTAGCAGCTCTGGATGAAACCACCATCAACTACATTTCTACCAGGGGTTCTACATCCTGCCTCTCCCATTCTGGTTGTGTTATTTGTTTTGGGTTCCAACTACAGAGCTCGCGTCCTGATTCTGGGTCTTGTCTTCTTCCCAGTTTTGGGCCATTTGCCGATCTGATGTCCAGGTTCTTCACATCCTCATAAAAGCCATTGATAAAAATATTTAGCAGAATAGGTGTGAGGACGTGGCTCTGCCTCCATTGTGAAAAGGGCCAGTCCATAGCCACAGCTTCCAGATGTTAGGTGTTGAGAGCTGGACATGGGCTGTGTAGAATAACTCATCCAGACACATGCAAAAGGAACTCATCTCGTGTCCCACCACTGAGCTGCCGCTAACATTAAACAGCAAACAAAACATGCAAGCCACACTGTGTCAGGATGGGTATATTTTTAAGAATAATGTTGGTCCTTATACTAAAAATGAAAGTGAAAGATTTGGGTTCCTTTCTGTCTCACATAGCCTTTTAAAAAGTGCCATTTGTATAGCTTAGGGACAATTTTTTTTAAAGATTTATTTATGCATACAAAAATTGGGGTACAGGTCAGAGGTGGGGGGTGGAGGATTCACCAGAGACAGAGTGGGGGAACAGAACAGGCAGACTGACTGAAATACACTGCTGAGGGGAGCAGCAGGTGAGACAGGAGAGGTCTGCTGCACCATGTGGGTAGCTCCCTGGCTGGATGGGGATCGAACTTGTGTTGCAGGGGCTGCAGATAGCTTCACAGTGCTGTGCTTAACCCCTTGCACTACCAGGGAGGCCCTTTAAAAAAAAAAAAAAAAGATTCATGCTTAGGGAAAATTTTAAGAATAAAGAAATAATAGTGAAGTCATCCATAAAATTCCTCAGCATTTTAATGAGCTGTTTGCAAGTGCTCTTTTTACATAGTTGAATTGTGAATATAGAACTTCACACTGGCTGTATAGGCATTTCCTCACATTACCCGTGAACTTGTATGTCACTTTCAAGGTTTGTGTAATACTCCATCTGGAGGATGTGAGACCATGTGCATGTGTCGCTGACGTACTTCACTTGGTGTTAATTTGGGACAAGCACCCTTTTGTAGCCAGTACACACGCTGGGAGTGGGAGATAATTTGCTTTTTCTCAGAGTTTACATTAAATACCTCATGTTTCGTTAACCAATATTGACACAGTCCAGAGAATACATAATTCAGCATGTCTGCTATTCTTCAGAATAACCAACTTGTTCTTCAGTATAAATATTAGCTAAGTCACACTTAGTTGAGAAATCCAATTTTCTTCTTCCCTTTTCTTTTCAATTAGAATTTGATGATGAGATAAGTAGAGGGGCATTCGGGTTGTTTCCATAGCTTGGCTGTTGTGGAATAAGGCTGCAATGAACCTGGGCATGGTGGTGGGCCAGGAGGGGGGTAAACATCTCTTTAAGATACTGATTTTGCTCCGTTCAGCTATTCCTGGAAGAGGGATTGTTGGATCACATGACTGCTCTAGTTTTTAATTTCTAAGAAACCACCATACTGTTTTTGATAATGGCTCACCAAATGACATACTCACCAAGAGTGTACAAAGCTTCCCTTTCTCCAGATTCTTGCCCACATTTGTTGTTTTCTTTATTAAGATTTTTTTTTATTTATACAAGAACCGGGGTACAGGCCAGATACATGGGAAGGTGAGAGGAGTCACCAGAGATAGAGCAGGGAACAGAACAGGCAGACTGACGAAATACACCGCTGAGGGGAGCAGCGGGCGAGACAGGAGGGGTCTGCTGTGCCATGTGGGATTCTCACTTGCTGGCTGGTGGGGATCAAACCCGTGCTGCAGAGGCTGTGGGCAGCTTCACAGCACAGCACTCAACCACCTGCCTGTGCCACCAGGGGAGTCCCCTCTTGCCCACATTTGTTATGTGAGGAACTTCTCTATCTTCCAAGAATTTTACACCGGAAAGACTTCCATCAAGATTGTCTTCAAGTTGGCATTGCAAATCACCCCTCCCATGTAATTGCCACTTCGTAAGTTAAAGAAAGCTCCTCAGAGTTATACAACAAGCTTGTTGGTTGAAATTCAACAGGCTGCAATATGTTTTATTGCACTGATAATTTTGGCCTACAATATTTAAGCTGACCAGAGAAAATAAGCTTTTGGATTTCCTTTGTGCAGTTTTTAATCTAAAGGTAGCAGACTTGTTTGCTTAAGAAAATAATTCCCCCATCTACCAAATGAACAGGTCACATGAACTCTCTCTAGCAAGTGATAAAATGTTTCTTTCTGCATTAAAAGATAAGGTGGATCTGGCAAATACCTGGAGAGAAATAACATTTATTAAATTATACACAAAACCCTAAGAGAAGTAATAGTTACTAAATTATACTCATGTTATTCTGCAAATTATTGATATGAGCATCTCTCCCCAAAGGGGGCTGAGATCTGGGGAAGAGAGAGCTTGAGAGATGTGCTGAAAGGGGGCAAGTGAGAAGTAGGAGCCGGTGCCTCCTCAGAGTTTGCACCAAGTGACTCTGATTCCTCCTGCTTCAAGTCTGACCTTCCAGAAAATATTTACTATGCAAGTCATATTTTATGCTGAGCAGAGGTCCTGAAGTCAGTGTGAAAACCTGTGATAAAAATCCACTCTTGAAAATTCCTTAAATCTCCAATAATGTACAATTATCTTGCCAGTTCTTTAACACGCACACAGATTGCTCCTCCTTCGATGGAGTCCTGTGGTCATCAGCTTGCATGCAGGCTACTTGGAATGAAAATGCATGCCCAGAAGTACAGATGCTCCAAACAAGGAGACAGGAGGGAAATACAATGTATTCTCTTTCCCACCTCATGCTCACATTGGGACAAATATATGCCCAGGAATGGAACCGTGGGGGAAATACACACACAACTTAAAGCTTTCTCTCATTCACTTAATATTTGTTTTTGGCTGAGTGTGTATAGTTGAGTTTGTCTGGCTATAGTTGAAGTCATATTGTTCAGTTCCTTTGTGGACTGAGTCCAATGCCATGTTCATGGGCACTTTCTTAATTTTACTCTTCCATCGGTAAGCAACTACAAGAGATGGCAGGAAACCATGGTGAACATGAGGAGATAATGGATCCTTTGGTTCTAGATCAGAAACTTGAGGACTAATCACCCATTTGGGGACTTTGATCTGGTGCCACGTCAAGTGCATAAAATGGTTTCCTTTCAATGATTTTTCTCTCTCTCTTTCTCAACAGGCTGGTCCATTCAGGTCCAGGGAAAGGATCACCCCAGGCTGGCGTGGACCTGTCCTTTGCGACACGAACTGGAACCAGGCAAGGAATTGAAACACATCTCTTCAGGGCAGAGGTCAGCAGGGACCTCTCGCACTGGACAAGGAGCATAGTCCAAGGTTGCCACAACTCTGCCGAACTCACTGCTGAAATCACCACAGGTGAGCATGGCCGGCGATGGGTTGTTGACAGGAAGATCATCCTCTACTCTGGCCTCAAAGTAGTTTCCATTACTGGCCTTCGGGCTACTAAGAGTCTAGCAAGAAACTGAGATTCCTCTAAATTAATGTACTGTGTGATCTACTGGAGATTTTGGTTGTGGAAAACCTTATCCTATCATCATGTAAAAGAAGTTAATGACTTGGGTAATTAGATGTCATTGTCCTACCTATCACTTTGGAGGCTTTCTGAAAGCATGGACTTGAAGGCACAAACTGGTAGAGTTCTTGTTATAAACAAGAGAAATAGATTCTGAGTAATTTATCACAAAATAAAATTTTTCAAAATATGTCAGGTAGCTCACAAAACTGATCAGAAAACTGGAGAACCAAACTCTGAAGAACAGAATGAAAGGCATTTAGCTGCAGAAAGTAGAGAAGATTCCCATAAACTGAACTCTATTGGGACAGCAAAATGATGAGGCTATTGATAGGCTGACCAGACAATAACAAAGAGTTGTATGAACTGAGTTAGCAGGGTGGCAGAAGAGAAGAAATTATGGAAATGACGAAAGGTGCAACAGTTACAAATGGAAAGATGCCTCCAGAGAGTTAGGGAAAGGGGCTGATGTTGTAATCAGAACTTCAATTAACTCTGTAATGTGTTCAATTTATCCTGTGTAGATTGAGAACATCTTCAGATAACCGATTCCATTATGGAAAGGCCATGAATACCTTTTGAGGTCAACTAGAATTAAAAGTAATTACTATCAGTTCATTTGGAATAGCCAATGGCAGAGCTTTGAAGTTCAAACATAGAGGAAGGAAAACAGCCCAACACCATTGAAGCACAGTTGCCCACATTCTGCAGGTGGAAGAAATGAAAAATTGCAAAAATGAGCTTTCACGATAAAGTCATGCACACACCTGTGCCTCTTGTCCCTGGTCATCCATGTCACATCCATCCATCTGGAAGGAGACAAGGGTCTAAGATTTCCTGTGGGGCTTGCTCAGAGGACGCGTATACCTGTTAGAGAACACTGGTGGGAAGGACCAGCCTTCGGTATAAGTTGCAGGTGCCCATGGTTAATCGGAGGCAGGGCTTCAACGAGAAGGCGGGGCTTCACCAGAAGTTTATTGAGAAGCCACCTGACTGTGAGCAGTTGGAGATTCCTATTTCCTTCCTCAATCTTGGAATCATCCCCTCTCCCTATCCTTACCACTCATGAGGGAGGAAAGTAAAAAACTCTTTGCCAAGTTCCTCCCTATATCCTAAGCACCAGGGTGTAAGAATGATAAATGGCACAGAGAAGAAAGAACTCCAGTTATGAAATCTAAAAACCACCTGGATGGCGACCACTTCAAAACCTTCAGCATTGCTGTAATAGTAAATTAAGGTCTTGCTTCAGAAGTTTGTGCCAAGGTGAAATTCAGTTGGGCTTATAAAACTAAGCTGAGCTAATGATGGCAGAGTAAACAATAAAGCCCTTACTCTTACTCCTCCCAACCCCCACTCCCAGCAAAGAAAATATCTGGTTTCCCTAAAGAACCTTAAGATGTATCTGAGAGCTGGGGCCAATTTCCTTGCCAGGATCGGTTAAATGTGGTGTTTTGTAAGGGGGAAAAAAAAAATCCAATCTAATACTTAATAACCTTTTCCAGAACTCTTTGACGCAGCCACAGGATGGCATAGAGCAGGATATCTATGACCCAAGCAGACGGGTGAAGGAGGAGAATTCTGGAGCCCTCGGTGGCTTTTTCAGGGTTTTATTATCAGGTACATGGCAGGCAGGGGTGCTGGGGGGACAGGAGGCTGGCAGGCACTCCAACCCCCAGCAAATCTTGATGCTTACTGGGCTCTCCAGCATTCTCTCTTGGCCTCTGGTTCTCTTCCCATCTCTCGCTTGTTCTTCTGGTCGTTGTGTTCTGGTGGTTCTGTTGTTCCGCTGGTGTCCCCATAACACCGCCCTTATAAGCCCAATCTCTCGGCCTAGTGGGGTGTGGGCCTCACATGCCCACACCCCACTCCAGGTGCCCACCATCAGGCATGCATTCAGGACCACAGGGATCCATCTTCAATCCTAATGGCAGGAGGGCAGAAAAGCCTGACATCATTTACCCTGCAACAAGTCTTCCTAAACAGGAACTCAGATTTGGTGGCAGTCCCCTGTCTGGCTCATAAGCCTCAAGTGCTGGTATCTTTTCCTAAGCACAAGGACCTCAGATTAAACACTTGTCCCAACCTCATCAAAAGGCCTCAGTCTTGGTCCTTTTAATGAGAGGGCACCTTGTGGGTACCACCCGGAGTTCCTGATGCCACACCTGACACCCACCCACAGCAGCAGCTTTCCAGGACCCCAACTTGTCAGGCACCAGGGAAATATAAAAGTGCTCCTTTCTGTGTACAAAATGAGTTTCGTTCAACTTAAAAAAAATAAATATGAAATTATTTAAGTCTTCACACTTAACTCTTAGGTAAGTGTTACATTGATCAAGCTTGTTAATGTAACTGGAAATGCTGGCTTTTTTTTCACCAGGTGGTAGACATGGCATTGATTTTGCATGTATTTAGGGGGTATGTGTGTCTGTGTGTGTGATGATGATGATGATGATGATACAGATGATAATTATTCTAAATCAAATGTCAGGCTTTCCCGGATTGAGGCAAGGCTATTGGAAAGCAGGTTCACCAGTTTGTTCCCAGATGCTGAGAAAAGCACAAAAGCACAGAGAAAGTGCAGTAAATCCCAGGAAAAGGCATTTCTTTCCATTCACTTCTTTTAGTGTCATGGTGCAAGTTAAATCACGGTACAAGTAAAATCTATGTAAGAAGAATATTTGCAGATACAACGACTAGATTTTTAACTTTAGAAATTTGTGTCTGTTCCCTGGGAGACGGAGGAGAATTGAAGTGTTAAGTGCTCGGGAACTAGAATAACTTCCATTTTTCATTCCTCCTCTGTGTCTCTCCCTCAGCGTGCACCTACAAAAACCAGGAGTGCCGTTTGACCATCCATTATGAGAATGGATTTTCTCTAACCACTGAACCACAGGAGGGTGCCTTTCCCAAGACAATCATACAGTCTCCTTATGAAAAGCTGAAAATGTCTTCAGATGATGGAATCAGGATGCTGTATTTAGATTTTGGAGGCAAAGATGGAGAGATTGTAAGTGTACTTGTCTTTCAGTGTTGTGATTTTCAGCTGTTCATCCCACATACCTGTAATGATTTGCAAACATAATGTTGTCTCACATTCTTTAACATTTGACTATTAAATAATTTGCAGATTCACATCTTATTTGATCCTTGAAAAACAGGATCCCGTGATTTCAAAGCTCTTTTACTTTGGTCTCATTTCCTACTAAAAATATCACATAAATATTTGAACCAAAGGAAAGAATCCTTTACAATGTCAGCATGCAATTCTTATCATGTAGAGTCCTGCAGGTTTCTGCATTACACAGTCCTGGCCTTCGGGAAGGCCTTCCAGGAGCAGACAGAAAAGAGCGAGAAGCAAAGGAGCTGGATCAGGGACAAGACAGAAGGGCCAGGCAGGAAGCAAAGAGAAATCTGTTGACTCTACATGAGTGGAAAGAGGGTCAAACCAGGGCAGTTTTTGGCCAAGACAACTAATGCCCAACAAAATTAGCAAATTTGTCAGTTAAGGTAACATTTATACTTCTCATATCAGTGCACGCCACCCATGTATTTCAGCTCACGATTTCCTGTGATCCTTAGTGCCTACCGTGGTGGAAAAAGTCTATTTCCTCCGTTTGACAGAAGGGTGAGAATGGCACATTCTCCTACTTGCTCACAAGTGCAGCTCCTGACATTTCTCAGAACGACGTGGTGTGTTGTTTCAACTGTCGAATATAGAACTTCAGAGAGGACCTTGATCTTGTACTAACTAGTCTCATTAGTCACTAGTCACTAGGCTAGTCAGCTAATATGGGTTGACTTCATCTTGATAAGAAAAATGGGGAATATGGAGAATGCAGAGAAAAGTCTCAATGTTAAAGATCCAGTCATTTCCATCCAGCTACTGCCTTCCATAATCACTGCCCCTTAGCCCTTCCAATCTCTCCACAATTACTTCAGTCATTTCTCCTGTGGGACTTTATTGATAATTCTCTCAGGGTATGTGGCAGAGGCTGATGGACTACACTTGAATGAGTGTTGGGGCCTCAATCTCCAGCATCGTCGTTGTTCCAGATGTTACAGCACTGCTGGCTCCAGCACCTGAGACTTCTCACCATGAGCCCACAGGCAGTCTCGAGGAAGCCCCCAGCCCAAGAGCTATCCCTGTAGCTGACAATTGATCTAATTGTTGATTTCCAGCCAGTTGTCTTTCTATCCTTGAAGTGAATCCATGGAAGTTTAGATTTTGTTGTTATTGCTGTTGTTTACTTATGCATTTCAATCAGTAAGTCCAGCCTGAAGCATCAGTTTGGAAACACAGACGTGATCTGAAAATCCAGTTTACTAAGAATATTTCTAGTTCAGTTGCTTGTTCTATCATTCACTCAATTGTGTGGGTTTTTTTTTCCCCCAAAAGGTGACTACTCCCTAGCAAAGTGGAAAAGAACAAGAACTGCCTTTCCCTTGGCTTGAAAATTTAAGGCTATTTTTGCACAGGAGGAAAAGTACTTATGTCCACATTTCAGCCTTTCTGCCTGTAATTATGACCTGATGTGGAAGATTTAGGAAGGACTAGTTTTTTGCTGCCAGTACATTAGGCTGATGACACTACTCCCTCACTGTCTAGTTGAGCAACCCCAAAAGGCAGATCTCAGGCCTTTCCCAGATGATAGAAGGGAGCAGACCTGAGGTTTATGAAATGCAGTACATCGAAAGTTAGTTGGTGAGTCTATAACTCCCACCGTCTTGGGCTGATCCTTTTACTTCTTTATACCTGAGTCTCCTCGATCATAAAATACAGTGACTAAGTCAGCTTTAAGTATACTTGCAAAAGTTGCAATCCATGTTAAAGAACTAGAATATTATAGGAAGCCCTGAATATGGTGTCAGGGTGCAAAATAATCCATCCTATCCATTTTGGGCACTTCTTGGGCTAGATGAGTAATTAAAAGAGCAGGAGATGGGTTAACAAAAGAAAAACATGAATTTAATGTATTTATAGGGAATTCACATAGTTGTAAATTCTAAAGAATAATGGAGCAGTCCAGGAATATTTATCCTGTGGTTTAGGATCTGGGGCCTCAAGAACAGAGAGGAGGAGACAAGAAGGGAGTGACCTTATCCTTACTCTTAGAGCATGTTTACGGATAAACCCAGAACTGGATGACACCCCCAAACCAAATTCTTCTAGGCCCTAAAATGGAGAAGAGTGATCAGTTCTTCAGTTAGGAAAAGGGCAGAAGTTTAGGACATGATGATCTCTTTCCCTCAGCTTTCAGCATCCTCACTGCTCTCACTGAGACAATCTATTCTTTGTGTAATGGTAATAGACCCCTCACAGCTATCAGGGCCTTCCTTGGCCTCTGGTTCCTGTACCATGGAGAGGAGAGGCCTGTTCTGGGCTTATGGAGAACTCCATTTGGGGGGACTGACCGCACACTGGTATCAAATAGACCTGCCGGTGAGTTCACTTTCTCCTGACTGTAAGATCTATGATCTCAGAAAACTTTGTAACTTCTCCAAGTCTCAATTTCCCATATAAAATCTAGAGATAGTGCCTTCCTGGTGATGCAAGGCGCGAGTTGCAGCACTATTAAGCTATCCACAGCCACCTTCTCCCCTCAGCAATTTCAGTCAAATCTGCCTGTTCTTTCCCCACTCTGTCTCTGGTGAATCCTCTTACTCCCCACCCTCTGCACCTCTGGCCTATACCCCAGCTTTTGTATGCATAAATAAATAAACCTTAAAAAAAACCCTAGAGATAATAGGATACTTGTTGGGGAGGTTCGGGAGGGGGTTTTGGGTGAATTAAATAATATTGTGCGTAGTAAACACAGCACAGTAGCTGGTTCATGGTAAGTACAATGTAGATAGTATATGTTCTGGTTGTTATTCCCCAATAGTATCATCATAACAAAATTAGAGACAGCAGATGAGAATCAGGAGCACCTCCCATTCTCCTACTTTAGGGCAGGAGTGAGTGATATCAGGTGATAAAAAATTTCAACCTGATTACCATGCTGTGATCTTTAGCAACACACGAGAAGGATGAGGCTTTCGAAGGGGCCTTAACAGACGTCTATGTACATGCTTATCACAGCTAAAGAGGCCGGGACTCTGAAGCCACAGCTGCTTAGCAGTGTGGGGTCTGTGTTTTAGTTTGCAAAGAATTTTCCCATACAACAGCATCTCATTGAATGCCCCAATTACCCCGTTGAGTGGGGTAGGCCCCGGGAAAAACTGTAAGCAGCTTGTCCAAGAGGGCACATCTAAAACATGTTAGAACCAGGACTTGAAGCTCATCTGCCGATGTGAAATTTAATAGCGTTTTATGCTGTAGCTAATTCAAGATAAATAACATCATTATGGTGACACCAAAACTAAATTGTTTAGACAAAAAGGTAACATCAATATTTATACTATTGGTATATAAAAATTGCACAGAACCTGTTTTGGAAGGATAGGAGATATAAAGAATAAATTCAAAGTGGTTGTTGTTTTTTTAAATCTCATTGAGGGGCAAAGATGGAAAAACCTAATTGCTCCAGTTAGTACCAAAGGCAGAAAGTGCACCAAAATGTTTGATGTGTAAATCACTCTTCTGTACAACACAATCATTTAAAATCTCTCATGTTCTTTTTTTTTTTTTTTTTGAATTTCAGCAACTGGACCTTCATTCCTGCCCGAAGCCAGTGGTTTTCATCATTCACTCATTCCTGTCAGCCAAGATCACAAGATTGGGCTTGGTGGCCTGAATGGAAGGACAACTTGCCTTTCAGAAAGGGAAGTTTGTGAGACTGTCAGAAAGTGAAACACCAGACCCCTTTTGCAGTGAGCCCTGCTCCCGATGTAGCATGCCACCGGCAGCTTTAGCTCCCCAGCATCCTGTGTAGCCACCCCAGACTCCTCTGTCAGCTTCACCAATGACAAGGGGCTTCCCTAAGAAAGCACCACAATAGCAGAATAAAACTGTCTTTATAGAACAGTGAAAGTGTAAAGAGGTGAGAGCAATTGGAAATACAACATAGCTTTCAACTAATCACAATCAAGGACATGAGCATTAGAACAGCATGTACAGATCTTAATCATCCTCGTTTCTAGGCAACTGGTTCACCCAGGTAAGCAAGGCTGAACAGATGAGGCATGGACATTTTTACACACACATACACACACCCCAATTACAATGATCTCTTGTTTTATTGTGATTGATTTCTTCTAATTGAGTTGACTTTCACTGGTTAGGAAAGAGAAGTATTGTAAATGGAAACTCACCTTTTATTTAAGTACAAAACAGCTGTTACTTTTTCTTAATGAATTATCTTTCAATGATGTAGAATGATTCTAAAGTGTTCTCATTAGCATGAGCGGGAATTAAATAAAGCACCAAATACCGATCTGAGCTGTAAGCTGGTAGAATCTGAGCCAAGGTAAACTGCTTAAATTGTAAAGCTTCCCTGAAGAGTAGTATGCATGAAAGATGATTAATTCTGAATTGGACTCACACCAAGGTCTGCTAGCCAAGACTGATAGCTTTATTTATAGAAAGCAAATTATGGATATTTCTTAAGATTGTCATATATATGTATATGTATGTGTGTGTGTGTGTGTATATATATATATATATAAAGGTACATACACATATGTATCTCTATATATAAATGCATGGAGTTAACTATTCCCATCTCATGATTTTTAGTGGAGGTACTGAGCAATTTGATCCTTGTTTCTGCCTATGCTTGTATGCATGCATTTTCAAACAAGTAATAGAGCAGGCTCATATATGGATGATGCTGGGTTTTACACACATACACACACACACACATATATTATTATATATATATATATATATATATATATATTATATAGCCCTAGCACTATAATCAAAACTATTGATCACATCTGCAGCTCTTGGAATTCCAGGGAAATAATATAATGACCTGATATTTTTCTACAAGAATATTTTCAGACACCATAGAGCACATTACTGATTTAAAGCTTTGCTCTTTTATCTTTCAAAATGAATTCACTAAAAATACACCTATTATTTGATTTTCAAGTCACTTTCCTCCAACCTTGAAAATTCTAGAATCTCTGTTAACATGTAACCCTTCTTTTTCCTTTAGTTGATAGACAAGATATTCAGGGTTAGAATTGTGTGTTTTTCCAGAATCGTATTTTAGCAAATACCTATGCAAAGAGCTTTAATAAGTGAAGCTGTTTAAAGGAATATGATTTTACTCATTCAGACTTGTGTTTATTGAGTTGCAGTTTTATTTTCCATCAGTGTTTCCCTGAAGTGTGTATCATGCAAGACTAGTTCCAGAGGGCCTTGATTGTGTGGTGTTTGGGGCCAGGGTGTGGAGAAAGAAGTCTGGTGATAAAAAGTGTTTGTTAAATACTGAGTTTTAAAATGTTAAACAGGTTTCATGATTGCAAGCCTCCTCAGACTTTTCATGTACATTGTGATTTTTCAAGGGGAGATCACTGAGCCATCCTTATGCTTACCTGCAGAACCCCTTTCTTCCAAAGCTAGTGTTTAAAAAAACACACTTTGGAAAACAGAGCTGGGACTCGGATTTGTTTGTTTCTTTGTTTCCTATTTTGAAATGCTGAAGAGTGAAGTCCAAGCCTGAACATTGTAGGAAAGCTTTGATGCATTTGTAAATTATACTGTACTCTTTCATTATATATTTTCAAAATCACTGGAATGTTGTATACAAGAGAATTATACTTATGTATTGTAAATAACATTAAAATACATATATTAATGCTAATAGTTTAATTCAATAATATGTAATCTAAGGTGCTCAGTACGACATAAAGTATGAGTTAATTACTCATAATTAAGTCACAAAGATCCTATTATATATTTATAGACAAATTAAAATGATCAAAATTACAATATCACTTCTCTATCCCTGAAGTTTTAGACTGATTAATATCTGGGTGGGGTCAACAGAAACTACATTCTCCACATTTATAAAAATTTAATTTAAATATTTATATTTTAGAAAAATATATTTGAATAAAGTTAATGCATTTTCTGAATTAAAATGTGTTCTTAGTAAGAAATAGAAAATTTTACTAAGAGAATTGTGTTTATGAATCATTTTTTTCCTCCAAGTTAAAGTGCATCGGATCAGAGAGACTATGATAAATCAATTTCAAATACTCATTCTGAATTGAGTAAGTTACAAGACTGTAACTGCAGATCTTACTCTTGCCTTGATGTGTTATAAATGTTGTGATTGGTACAAACTCTACATCTGGATTGTGCCCGGGTGCAGTCATCAAATCAGCAGTCACTTGGGGAATTTATTTTTGTCCAGTTAGCTCTGTACTTAAAGCCCATTTCTTATTTGAATCAATGAATTATTAAATTTAGTGTCTGTCCTTTATAGGTGAACCAATGCAATGAATGATGCTTTCATCTGTTCTCAGAGGGCGGCTGCCCACTTGCTAGTATATGTGGTTAGGAGAGCCCTTTGGTATTATGACATGGTTAGAGCACCCAGCACAGATTTAAAGGAGGCCAGAGAGAAAACAGAGAAACAAAACCATAAACCTATTCTAAAAATATGCCAGCAGAAGCACTCAATTAATTCTATCAATTGATAGAATTAAAATGCTAAAAGCACATCCTTTTGTCCAAAAGCTTATTGACTCTGCATGGTTGAAGTCAGAATGAATGATGTTCATGGTTTGAAGGATTCCCCTAAAATAAAGGCAAGGGCTTTCTGACCTTGATTTTACAAATATTAGCTATTCTATCATGAGGGGGTTGGATGAGATGGGGTGAGGAGATAATTTTTGAATGTACCTTGAGTTTAAAAAAATGTGCCTATGTTTATAGCACCATGGATATCATGTAACATTTATATGTGAATTAAATAAATATTCACCTCTGAATATGGTGGACTGGCTGGTGGTTTCATAGTGGCCACAGAAGGCTATGGGAGTGAGGGCTTTGTTCTCCTTTCTCTTCCTCCATTTGGAGTTAGAAGGTGCTAGAAGATAAAGGGGGTGACTCTAGCAATTTTTTGGTGTGCATGATTTCTGTGTATAGCATCAGATACTAAAGTCCTCAAACTATAATATTCTCAGGGGACTTGGTTTGTTTTTAAACTGTTAGCAGGCCAGAGTTGAAAATATTTCTACTCTTTGAATATTTATCAGTAATAGCATTGAGATAACACTGAAACTATCTCAGTATTGAAGAGATTTTAGAGGTCATCAAGCACATTAGTACCCAAAGTTTATTATTCATCATTTTAGTAATACCACTTTAGTATCTTAGGGTATATGTTTGCTAGTAATATGGCACCATAATATATACATATAAAAGCAAATATACACCAGTTAGATTTCTACTTATATGTAGAATATAGAGAAACAAAACAAAGGAGCTGACAAAAGTAAACCAAAACAAACCCTAGAAATCTGCAGAATTGAGATGACCAGAGGGGGAGCGTAAAATGGAGATGGTAACAAAGTGGGCAGAGGATCCAATGGCCTAGGGTTACGGACTTAGGGGCGCTTTCGAGGTGGGTGGGTGTGGTGACATACATCAGAGGAGGTGTGAAGGTTCACATCTAAATCATATACAGTGTTGTAAACCACTGTTACCTCAATAAATAATTTTTATGGAAAAAAATTACAACTGATGTAAAAAGTTTTTCAAGTTTGGACCTCCTAAAGTCATATATGCCATGCTACACTGGCCTTGTATAAAATTCCACTAAACTCAGGAATCTCCTCCTAAACATTTCTTGTACTTCATTCCCCCTGAAACTGAACATTTCCAGCTCTGGGGAGGGAGCGTCCTATCTCTCAGGTCAAACCATTGCTGTGAGGCTAGACCTGAGAAAGTTCGTACATTCTTAGAACCAGAACTTGCCTCTGCCTAACTTTCAGTCATCCCTGCTCTACCTTGGAAAACATTGAAAATCCGATCTTTTACCACATAAAAGTCCTATATAAATTGACAAATCAAGGCTGGGGACTACTATGTAAAATAAAATTATCTGAAAAAGGCCTTAAATAGAACACTTAGAATTCCTCATTTTCATCTTTAAAGAACCAATTAGTGAAGATTAAAATCCTTCAAAATATCTAGCATGGGACATGATAGGAAAACAAGCATTTATATACCACAGGAAGGTAAATAGTTGGCAACAATTCAGAAGGAAATTAATATTGTCTATAAAAAAATTTTAAATACATCTATCTTTTGACTTATGGGATGTTCTCTTAGAGATACATTTGCACAAATGCAGAAGAACTAATGTATAAGGATCTTCTTTGCAGCACTATTTGTAACATGAACCTAAAAGGGCGATATGATCATCGACAGTTAAATCAATCCTGGACCACCAATATATTAGAATCATCTGTGACTGTTAGAAAGTTAAAGGAATGTGTCCATCTGTATGTGCTCACACGGGAAAAATCTCTCAATGCAAGTTCTGCAAGATGCAGATACAGATACCTAGATGTATGCTCTCATACATGCTGAGATGTATGCTCTCATATATGCTCTCATACATGCTCATACCTGCTGGGTGACTGGCCATCGCTTCAGGCCTCAAAGTAGTGGCCAGTGGAGCTCTGCATCCCATTGTCTTGTTCTCCTGCCTCCCCTGTCTTTCCCCCTGTCATTCTTCACTCTTGGCACCCTGGAATTAGACCTCCCAAATAAAGCATCAGTATTTAATTTTTTGCCTGAGGTTTCCTTTTCTAGGGAACAGCCAATGACCATTATTAGCCTATGACCATTATTTATTACTTTTACCTTATGATAGCAAAGGGGACATAAAAATTCCTATAAGAGTGTTGAGAAACAGACACACATGGAGTATATTCATTCTTGTATAAAAGTGCCTGGAAGAATACCTTTTTTTTTTTTAATGATCTCGGAATCGTGGGTATGACCTGAATATCCCTCCATATTTAATGAACTTCTTAAATGTACTTCCTTTTTAAAAAAACATTTTCTAATGTTCTGATAATAGTAAGCAATATTTTTATCTGGTTTATGAAGTCTTGAATAATAGAACTGTTTGACTATATGATCGGAAATTAATTACCTTGTCACCTGTGGTCTTCTAAATCACACTAAATTTGATTTCACAAGGGGAAGCAAGTCTAATACCTCATTAACATGACTAAACCATGTCCAAGGATGATATGGAATCACATTTGTCTGACAGAAAAGCAGTAGGAACCTCTATTTTGGCCTTTTATACACTATTCATTATCCCCTTGGACAAAAATAAGGCCTTTTCTTGGAGGAGCGTAAGACTCCTTACAGAGAACATTGCTCAGATGGTATCACAGCATGAAGAGCAGGGCAGCGGCGGAGGCTGGAGAAAAATAAGGACGCCCAGTGGGAACAGGAGACAGGAGTGGGAACATGCATCCACTGAGGAAAGGCCTCCCAGGGACAAGGCTATGGGGCAGAGGGGAACAGCCCAGGTCCTCCAACTTCTCAGGCTGGATAAATACCCAGAACAGCAGCAGACAGGTTGGCAGAGGAAAAATCAATTTAATAGCATGCACATGAAGGAGACTGCTGTGATTAAGCATGGCCTACATCTGAGTTTGGTATCCTTGGATTTTGATAAGCAAAGGAGTTTAAAAAGGAAATCAAGGCAGGGTGAGTTAAATGCCTCAAAGAACATTCTAGTGCCCAGGCTATAGAGCATGTGATAATTTTAAGTACACAGTTTTGATAAGTTTTGGTAAAAGTCACCTAATCACATCATGATCAGGACACAGAACATTTTTATAGCAGCACAAAGTTTTTGGGGGGCTACTTTCTAATCAGTCACTTCAACATCTGACCCCAGGAAATCATTCTTTGTTTGCTAAGACTCCATATTTAACTTTCCTAGAATTTCATATTTCTGGCATTTTCTTCGCAGCATGTTTTGAGAGTTCACATTGTTCATATCTAGTAGTTTGTTCCTTTATATTGATGAGTAGTATTCCATTGCACGGATATTTTATAATTATTCAGCTTGTTGCTGGACATTTGGGTTGTTTCCAGTTTGGGGTTATTAAGGATTAAGCTAGTCGAAGAATTTAGGCTCAATTTTTTGTATAGACAAATGTTTTGTTTTGTTTTCCAAAGATTTACTTAGTTATGCATACAAGAACTGGGGTACAGGCCAGAGGTATGGAGGATGAGAGGATTCACCAGAGACAGAGTGGGGAGATTGACTGAAATATACTGCTGAACAGGCAGATTGACTGAAATATACTGCTGAGGGGAGCAGCGGGTGAGTTAGGAGAGGTCTGCTACGCCTTGTGGGTAGTTCCCTGGACAGGGATCGAACTCGTGCTGCAGTGGTTGTGGATAGCTTCATAGGTTGTATCTTAAACCCTTGCGCCACCAGGGAGGCCCTAGACATATGTTTTGATTTAATCTTGGGCAAATAGTGGAATGGCTAAGTAATAATGCCAAATACAAATTTAATTTTATAAAAAAAAATTTAAATATTTTCTAAAGTGTATTATAGCATTTTCTATTCCCAAAAGCAATGCCTGAGATTTCCAAATGCCCTGCATAGTCACCAAGACACGATATTGCCAGTTTTAAAATTTATTCATTCTAGTAGGTGTTTCACGGTCTCATTACGGTTTGAATTTGCATTCTCTTGACTGATAATGCTAAGATCTTTTCATGTGTTTGCCATTCTTATATCCTTTTTGTAAAATGTTTTCCCAAATGTTTTGTCCATTCAAAAAATTCTGGATTATATCTATCTTATTAAGTTATAAGAGCTCTTTATATATTCTAGATAAAAGTACTTTATTGAACATATACATTACAAATAATTTCTCCGAGTCTAAGGCTTGACAATTTTCTTGTTCTTAATGATGTCTATTCAAGAGTGAAACTTTTTAATTATGAAGTACAGTTGCTTTTTTTAATTTATGATTTGTACTTTCATGTCCTAATAAATCTTTGTTTCTATATCTGTATGCCTAGGGCAATGCATATTTTTCTGTATTTTCTTCTAGAAGTTTTATGGTTTTAGATTTTCGGCCTAAATTTATGATTCATATCAAATTAATATTTATACTTGTTGTGAGGTCACAGTTGAGGTTCATTTATTTTTACCACATGGATGGATATCCACTTACTCAAACTCCACTTCTTGAAAAAAGAAAATCTTTCTTCAATGGAATGCATGATATGTGGGTGTACTCCTGAACTTTTATTCTGTTCCACTAATCTATACAGTGGTCTTCCCTTGTCCTTGGGGATGTGTTCTAAGATAGCCAATGGATGTCTGAAACCATGGGTAGTAGCAGAACCTATAAATACGTCTTTTCCAATTATACACAGCTATGTTAAAAGTTTAATTTATGCATTAGGCATAATAAGAGATTAACAACAATAATAAAATAGCATAAATATACAAATGTAACAATATACTGTAATAAAAGTTATAGGAATGTGGTCTCTCCCTCTTAAAGTATCTTACTGTAAGCATTGTTTTCAGACCTCGGTTGAATACTGGTAACCATGGAATCAAAACAGTGGGTAAGGGGGAAATTACTGTATACTTACTCTTATTTCCATACCAGATTGTCTCAATTACTGTAGCTTGAAGTCTTCAAATAAAGTAATATTCTCCAATTTTCCCCCCTTTTTTAAAAATTTGGCTATTTTATGTCCTTTTAATAAGTGATTTAAGGGCCTTCCTGGTGGCTTAGGGGTTAAGGTTCAGCACTATCACTGCATCAACCTGAGTTCAATCCCTGGCCAGAGAGCTAACCCTCTTAGGGCATAACAGACCTCTCCTGTCTCCCATGCTGCTCCCCTCAGCAGTGTATTTCAGTAGATCCACCTATTCTGTTCCCCACTCTGTCTCTGTGAATCCTCTTACCCCCCACAACACTGGCCTACACCACAGTTCTTCTACATATAAATAAATCTTTAAAAAAAAAAGTTAAGCCCATTAACATTTTTTGTTCATGTTTTTGCATTTGTTATTGATAAGGTTAATTGAAATATAATATGCATATGCTAAATTTCAAGTAGCATTACACAAGTTTATCCAGTACTTGAGGTCTTATTTGAGACTTTGTAACTTAAATAGGTCTAACAATAAAAACATTTACCAAGAAGTAAAGACATGTCTTTTTCTATTTATTGAAATAATTAAATAACCAGTTGTAATATTTAAGAAATACATTAAAAGATTAACTTTAAAACTGAAAATATAGTAAAATACAGAATTAGACAGCTAAAAATACATTAAGTGAGCATTCTCAAAGCTATATAAAAATATTTATGAAACTTTAAAAATTTAATGCTTAGTCTTTGAGTAAAGTTCAAAATGTTTATAATTTTTAAACTAAGGGAGGAAGTTGTAAAGAATATAGCTCTTCACAGTTTTTAACTGTCCAAGGAGAATGATTCTGTGTTTTCTGTGTTATTACTTTCTTGTCTTTTCTAACACCCATTCGATCACCTAGGGGGAAAAACACAATTATGGTACATTCCTACTAAAAACACAAGTGATAGAAAAAGATACTGCTAAAACTCAACAAAATAATAAAAAATTTAAAATAAAAAGTAACATCAATATCTTAAAACACATTTTATATTAAAAACACATTTCGTTTTCTAACTGAATACTTTCTGTTAAACTTCCACTGCAGAACATAAAAATTGTTCTCAGTGGTCAAAATGAAGATTCTGCCCTATTTTTTCACTTTTATTTGAATATATGTCTTTAAAGAGCTACTAGAAAGGAATAAAACCAAATGTTGAAACAAGTAGATGAATTAGTTTTTCCAGTTCTTTGGATTATTTTTCTTTCTTAGCATTATTTTAGAAATGCTTTTGTTAACAAAACAACCTCTTAATACTATTAAATACTCTACTTGAATACGTCTGTCATTAAGTATTTTAAAGAGTATTCATAGGGACAGAGTTGAAAAGAGACCACTCACTAATTCTTACTGCATCTATAACACCATCACACTTACCCTGAGATAAATGGAATATAGTTGCTTGGGAATAGTTTACCTGTTCAACATTTTTGTTTGCTGTTTTCTTCATCTCTTCAAATAGACCCCTTGAAGTTTTAAGATCCTAAATATAAGACAGAATTTTATTATAATTCCACATTAAATTACAGAAAGCAAGTCATTCTGAAATAAATCTGTTTACCCTGTATCATTCTCCAAGTATCAATGTGATTGGGAAGTACGGTTGAGTCCTCCCCTAACACATCAGTAGGGTCTTGGAAATGGTGACTTTAAGTGAAATAACACAAAACAAAGCAGGTCCTCAACTAATGTGATTTTGTTCAACACTGACCATGCTCTTTATTTTTTCACCAATGTTACAATGAAACAATATTTTAAATGAACAGACATTAGTTGAGAACTTGCTGTACTACAATCAAAGCAATAGCTTGTAATTTTGCTTGATCCTTAAATACCAATATTCTCTAACCAAAAACAAGCATACAGACATAAGCCCATGTCATGATAACCCCACATTCCAAGTAATACTGAGGAAATCTAAGCTCCAACCTTGCCAATGTGATTTACTAATGCTTCACTACTTAACAAATACATAATTTGCATTCATGTTTCAGATAAAATATCTTTTTTCTCTCTCTTCTTTTTGAATATTTCATTCTACCACAAAAAGAGAATGATACAGGAAACAAATATCAGACTTTTAAAAAAATAACAACTATATAATAATCACAAAGTAAAAAAAAAAGATTGATTTTTAACAAAAGCAGTCTCTCCTGCACCTTCAAGTTACATTCCACAAAAGGCATGCACGTGATCCTTCTACAATTTTAACCAGAAACTCTTGAAGCTTCAAATAATCAATCCCTATCTAAGTTTTAGAAAATTATGTGATCTACCCATTGTCTTACAACTAAATGATATGTATCCAAAATTAGATATTGATTGTTGTGACAATCCAATAGCCTTTTCTAAAGTAAAAGTAATTTTACTAAAATTACTAATTAATTATACAGGCTTAGTAGTTATTATTAACTTAAGTAAAAGAACTTGTTAGGAAAATACGGAGGATACCAATTAAAATGCAGCTTTCTCCATATGAGGACTAACATTAATTACAAAATATTTTTACCCCAATTTTTCTATCTCCATTTTCTTAAAAATCTAGCCACGAGTGATAAAGCTTTCAGTATGAAAAATACTGAACATAATTTTAGGTCAAACAAGAACATTAAACATGACATCAATTTTACCCTTAGTAGAGAAGACAAAATACCTTTAGATAGAACTTCGAGATCTCAAAGAGACGCTGGCTGCAGGCAGTGAAGCATTCATGAGCCTCAGGAATACGGTGTTTCTTCAGGGTTTCAGTAACGACTTCATTCAATATCTTAGAATAGAACATAATATATGACTATTTTGTGCAAAAGGTAAAAACACATTATTTCAGCTTCAGAGTTCAATTCTTTAAATTACACAGTCATTTAGCTGTGCTAATGAAAGAAATTCATTAAGACAAAACAACTGAGAAGAGACCTGTAACATTTATGTGTCTGGACATGTCACAGGATAGTATCTGTTAGCAGGAACTGACTGCAGTATATTAAAGAAAGGAATTCAAATCCTAGCTTGGGAAATGAATTATGAGTGTAAAAGTTACACACAGCAGGGTCATGCATATAAGTGTGTATTTGTTTTTTTATGGAAAAAAATGAAACACAGAAAAGTAGAATGAATTTGATTTTTTAAACAAATCCTTACCTGATATCCTTACCTATGAACCAGCTCCAATGATGATCAATTTGTGGCTAATTATATAATGCCCCCTTTACCAGACTGTTTTAAAACAAATTATAGATACCATTTCATTTCATTCCTAGCATCTCCAGGCACACATTTCAAATGAATCAAATAAAGGACTTCTTTCCCTTATGGAATTAAGAGATGGAAAATAAATTTTTACCCGTGTGTGTTTCTGTGATCTTGATTCCTTTATCTGCCTTGATGTTTTTGATTCATGCACACTTTTTTGTCTTAAACTGGCCTTTGGAATGACTTTTGGAGTTTCAGACCTAAGGTCTGGACAAGGCTTCGGTAGCGACTGCTCTGCTTGTGGCCTTCTGGATGTCCCTGCATGGCGAGGATTACCACGGCTACTTGTCTGAGGAAGAATGGAATCCAGACTTTCCGATTTCACAAGTCTACTGTGGGGAAAATATCAAAAACTTAAATTAGGCAAATCAACAAGGAGATTTATTCTAAATTACAACTAAGAGTCACTGAAACATAGTTCAAGAAAAGAAAACAAATTTTCTTGATAATATGCCTTAAACAAGCCATCACCATCATAAAGTTGCCTTTTTAGTTCTTCAGATGAATGATTAGATGTAGAAGTTGGTGAGTAAAATTTCAGCTAAGAAAGTAAACAATATTACTGTATCTTTCCCACCAACTTATAATTTCTCATATAAATCAGCTATGGCACCACAGCTATTGCTATTTATAGATTCAATACTCATCTGCTAAATATGTACATTTTCCAATTCAGATAATTTAATGAAGAAAGTACCATCTACACTTATCGTACCGATACAACCACCTTTTCAAAATAAATTATAGTTAAATACATGTAAAACTATCAAACTGGCTCTTGACTCTGTCTTTCTAAAATGCTTACATAGCCTTCCATGAAGACACAAATTTTTCCTTTTTATTAAATCAGGTCTTCCAGCCTCAACTCTGCTAACCTGTAGATCACAATGGCCTTTTTTTTTTTTCCAGGAAGATCTATTATATTTCAGTCACAGCTCAGAAATAAGAAATAATGTTATAAAATACAGTATCCCAAATGTTAATGAATTTAACTTTTTTAGCTTTATCTGGTTTAAAAAATACCATGAATTTGTAAAGTCTTCATGAAATAATTTAGTTAGTCCTTATCAGGGAAAGAATATTCTAACATTTTTAACTGCTCAGGAGATTTGATAATTTTGACATAACATTTCATATTTTAAAAGTTTCAAATACAATGAGAATTTAAGGCTTGATTTAGATGGCAAAAACCTAAATTTCACAAAGGTTCTAAAGATTTGTAAATTTAATAGGAATTAGAGTGTTTAGCTCACAAACTTAATTTATGTTCAAGAACTTAGAAATTTTACTTCACTGGCAAAAAAAGGTATGTAGGAAAGTTTTACATAATGGATTACTATGCAGGACTTCACAATGTATTTTATATGAAACACATGGTTGGTAAGTGGTGCCTCGATGAACTCCTTGTTCACGGGGCCACTGCAGGCAGGACAGAGTGAGAGGGAGGGATGGGAATACTAAGAAGAGCTACCACTCTGGACACCCTCTTCAACAGAGCAGCTCAGCTGCCGCTTCTACTGAATAAGCTGTCTAGTGTTCCTTGGCTTAAAAATGCTACAGTTGTCTGAGTTAATCGACTGCATATCAGCATATAAAGCAAGAAACTGTTTTTTCCAACTCATTTCTTTTTATAAGCATAATCATCAACTGCTCACAATAAAAACAATATTCCTGGTATGAGGATTTAGTCTACAATATATGCAGAGGGCAACTTTAAAATATGAAAGCCATTTAATATGAACAACAACAAAAAAGGACCATAAAGACAAAAATACTTTTTGGCAAGATATTGTTTTTATGCACTTAATATATATCACCTTTTTCTGGGATAAACGCAATTCAGATCTTTTGATTTCCTTTTTAACTGGGACACTTCAGTCCTGAGTTCACTTTGTAGAGCTTCTCCATCAGGGACACTTCCAGGCTCTGACAAAACTGCAGGAGATGGAAGAGGACTCAACACAGTAGGGACAGGAAAAGTTTCTCTGGTGCAAGTGGTTTGAGTTTCATAACGAATAAGGCGAGACTGAAGTTCAGAAAATCCCCCATCTCTTTCTAATGCTTTTCGGTCATCCAAGCAGTATCTAAATGAGAGAAAGATCATTACAATAAAGCCTCCAGGACAATGATGGTCTTTTCCCTGCCAATGAGAAAAGAGCAAAACATATATTAAAAGTTCTTAGTTAACTTCCTAATAACAGCTGGAAGTTTGAATGAATTGCCAACTTCTCCCACAAGTTCAGTTTTTTTCTAGGCGGCTAAATGACGTGGCAAAAGATTAAAAATTTTGAAGTATACTCTGATTCCTCTTTGACTGTTTCTAGGCGCTAGATTAAGCTAATCCTCTGGTTTATTTTCAAAATAATACAGTTGCTGTTTTAATACTTTTTAAATCTCTACCAACCTCTGATTTCTCAGCATGGCTGATATGTAACTACGTGAAATGCTGACTTCTGTTAGAAAGGGCAAGTTTATTTTCAACACAAAGATTAAAAGGATATAAAGGCATTCTAAACTGGCTCACCAAATTCAGCTCAGAACATTGTGAATTTTTTCTTTGAAATTCACTTCCCATCTTATTGACTGATTGACAAGATTTTCCTTCAAACACTTTGGCTGTCTCTATGCAGTTGGTTTCTAGCTAGACCTGATTCAAGGAATCAATGAGATGTTAGTTCAGTGAATGCTTCTGGATTTAAATCCCATATTGTTAAATACAACAAATACAAATATGAGAAAAATCACTTATAGGCTGTGTGACCTTGGAAAGCTCTCCACTTTCTTCTCTTTCTATAGCTGCATTAAGGAAACACAAATGGTTTCACATGTGATGGCAGGACTATAAAAATGAAAACTTTTCTCTATTATCTGTACTCTTTCCTTCCAAAGTTCTAAGATGGTCTCTATAAAATCAGATTTTTGGTCCAAGTTCAAGTCCTGCAGATTGCATCCTTACTCTAACATCTGAGGGGGTTTTGGGGACTTTTTCTTTCCCTCGTGACACATACTTGATTTCTAAGAGTACAGGCCAGGGAGCCAAATTTTCTGGACTTAATTCTGGTCCTAACACTAACTAGCTGCGTGAGAGCTTGATCAAATCATTAAACTTTGTTTCTGTTGCCTTGTCTGCAAAATGGAATTTATAGCATTTATCTCAAAGAGTTATAGTGAAGATTCTTTGAATGAGTACATGTGAACTTTTGAAATCAGTGCCTGGATCACATAGCTGGGCAGTCAACAAATGTGTCAATGTGAGCATCATGAGCAGCAGCAAGCAGCATCAGGTTTATTTTCTAACCATAGCACCTCTTATTGTATGCTGACAATGCGAAGATAACTAGGATTTAAATGCAGGGAGATTTCAGAGCCTGACTTCAACCATTTTCATATACCATCTCTTCTATAAAGTGCAAGCATGACCTTACTTAGGGATAAACCCATGGCTGAGTATTAGGATAATCTGAAGAGTTTTTCAGAAATACATGCCAGTTTCTGACTTTAGGACCAGGGTGAGACCCAATTACGGGTATTTTTTAAATAGTTGTTAAGAAGTTTCTAAAAGTATACCTAGGACTAAAAAAATCCCTGCTCTAATCCAATAAGGTTAATTTAACAGGGGAGCAAACTGAGCTCCTAGGTCAGAAGGTTAATTGATGGCAGAGCAGTCACTAGAACCTAGGTATCTCCATGCTCTATATATTTTTTTCTAGTCTGTTGTTTAATGAAACATATTTTACTAAAAATCAGCAGCAACCCTAAGGATTACTGAAAAGTCCTATGTCTATAATTGGCAACTGATAGACTCTGGAGTAAAATTAAGAATCATGAAAGTTTAGAAAGGTTTTAGGTAAGAGGCAACAGAGTGCCTGATTAGCCTATAGGAAATTTTTGAGAAAAAAATGCATATTTTGACTCTAAATGAATATTTTTTCCTACTTTAAGATTTAGATCCTAAGATGCAGAATTGTTCTTCTAGTTTTAACATCTCTTGATAATAGCTGTTCATAATGTTATCCCTTCAACTGAATAATGTGCACTGTGATCTCTCCTTGAAACAAGTTACTCTACAATTAAGAAAGGAACAGAGACAGAGTAGCAGTGGATATATTTCATATTAGTGAAGTTAATGTTCATTGTTGGATGAGTGACTACAGTTCCCTATTTTCTTGCAAAACTATAACCTAATGTTTCATCCATCCAAAGGCAAGAAAAAATGCCTATGAGAATATGAAGCTCTTTTTGTATTATAAACATAAAAAAAGGCGAGACACTTACTGCCTATCACACACCAAGCAATGCCAACGAATGCTGGAGAAACTGCCAAATCTCTTGGAACAGATGAAAGAAATTTCAAAGCAACCAGAGACTTGTGTGACCAACTGATTACCACAGTTTGACAGAAAAGCTTAATTTGTATTAAAGAAAATAGTGCCTCTTATAGTCACTAGTATCTCTTATTCCAGGATAGGCCAGATAAGTGAAAAAAACAAGAAAGTAAGCCACCAGTAGATATATTTCACTTTGCTTGAAGAAACACATATTTGAGAAGTTTATATGTTTTTGCTAAATATTCCTTACATCAGAGTGGAAGAAGAGCGAGACAACTCTAAAGGCTTAGAGAAACATAGGAAGAGAGAACTTTCATTGCAGTTTCATATTAACTTTTAAATTTCACTTCAATTGCTTCTACTCCACATTCTATGTTTATTATAAATAGACCCCACACTACACAGCCAAATCTTGAAAAAAAAAACCATTCTGGATTTGTTGTGCTCACCTCTTGCATTTTCCTTAGTTTGATCTCAATGCCCCCATCTTAATGAGCATAATTTACACATAATGAAGAAAACAGCCACACAGCTAGATTTGCTTATTGGCTTATGGGTATAGGTAAGTAGAACTATCCCTTGACAATAAATGGGAATCTGATAATATTATATTGCATAAATGAATAAAGTACCAGGAAGTAGTGCTCAAGTAACTCTTAATATTCTGACAGATGATCATGAAGAATATATCCTTTACAAATTCTACATATTTTATGTACTATTAAGATTTTCTGTATTAGGGCCTCCCGGTGGCGCAGCGGTTGAGCGCTGGGTTGCGAAGCTGCCCGCAACCTCTGCAGCGCTGGTTCGATCCCCAGCCACTGGGCAAGGGTCCCACATGGCACACAGACCTCTCCTGCCGCCTGCTGCTCCCCTCAGCAGTGTACTTCGTCAGTCTGCCTGCTGTGCTCTCCGCTCTGGCTCTGGCGAATTCTCTCATCCTCCCACACTTCTGACTGTACCCAGTGCTTGTATAAATAAATAAATAAATAAATAAATAAATAAATAAATAAATAAATAAATCTTTAAAAATAAGAAAAAGATTCTCTGTAGTAAACTAAAAACAGAGGAAAAGTATAGGGACATTAGAATCAAAATGACTGAAACTAAACTACAGAATTTGGGGAAAATAATAAAAAGTATAGTTATATAATGGATATGTCTCTCAGTTAAAACAGTTATTGATTATTTCATTCCAATCGGTCCTTCAGGGCTGAAGAGGATAAAAACGTGTTTCATTCCTGGGGTCAATATTTAGCCATGTACCACAGAAAATGTTAATGCTAATACACTAATGGTATTCACTATTGTGTTGTACACATTCTGTATGGAGAAATTAAAAAACATTGTTAGGAGGGTACCCTTTAAATATGAGAGGTAGCCACGAGAGAAACTAAAAGCAAACAAATAAAAACTTGCTTTTGAAAAAAAGTAAAACTGGTGTTAGGAAATAATGAAAGGAATTGTTGGTTTTTATTATAAACTTTTCTATAATGTTTAATTTCTAGGTCTTTAATAAAAATCAAAGGGGGAAGAACAAAAAAAATATTATCCAAATATTAGATACTAGAGAAAAAGAAGTTCCAAATAATTTTAAGGAAAATTTAAAACAAATACAAAGTAAAATTTGTAATCACTGTACAAAATGTATAGAGCTAAAATATGAATAGCTTAAATAAAAGATTTAGATAAATTCAAGACTACTTGGGAAGCACCTGATTTTTGGTGTTAAAAGAAAAACATTACTTTCTCAAACAAGGAATTCTTTCCTTAAATATCAGAAACGAAAAGCCTACACAAGTGGCATTTCTTAACTCTTTATGATTCAGTAGTTACTCTGAACTGCCAACTGTTATCAAAACAATTTAAAAGTCTTATCTGAACCACTTAGATTTAAATTAGTATTCAATTTGCATTTTTTCAAAGATGATTCACTATTGTATGTTTTAGTTCCTATTTCTCATTGAAAGTCCTCAAATTCTTATTGCAACTATTTTTTCCCACACAGACAGAAGTTTAATGTTGTTGCACAAATCAATTTGTTGTTTCTTGTTACTGCTGAGTAGTACTGCTTTGTATAGATAAACCAATTTATTTATTTATTCTCCTATTGATGTACAACTAAGCTGTTTCCAGTTTGGGGTTTTTATGAATAAAATTGCTCTATACATTCTTATGCAAGTGTTTGTGTGGAGTTATGTTTTTCTTTCTTTTAGGCAAATACCCAGTATTAGAATTGCTGAGCCATGTTTAGTTTTACAAGAATCTGCCAGATCTTTTTCTGAAGCAGACAGAACATTTCAAACTCCCAACAATGTCTGAGAGTTTCAATTGTTCCATATACTTACCAATATTCTGTGGCAGCACAGGATTTTATTTTATAAACGTACCACAATTTATTTAACCAAGCCCCTAAAGCTAGACATTATTTTCAATCTTTCTTACTTTAAATAACTATAAAAAACCCTTTCACAAAAGCTGTCAGTGCACATCACTAATTTTTTTCATTAAGTTATATTAATCAAATATAATAAACATTTGTAATTTTTTCCACTCTGCATTTCCTGCTAAGATTACATCTAGTATTTATGGTTTTACTTGATACCTTTTCACTGTGCTTAAATTGGAAATCACTATTTTAGAGGGAAATTATGCTTTTGTTATGTATTTCATCACTGGCCACTTTACAAATTTTCCTACTACTTCTAATAGGCTTTCAGGTATCTTCTCTGCAAAACAAAAATAACCAAAAAAGGAAAAAAAAATTTTAGACCTCCTTTTTATTACACATATAACTCTTAAACGCTTCAGTTTTCCTTATTTTAATTCACTGGCAGAGCATGTAGAACATCTTGCCTCCTATTTTATTGGAAGATTAACTTTGCTACTAAAAATTAAGTAACTGAACATTTTGACTCCAGTGTCAAACTTTACATGAATATTCTTTAAATGAAATAGATCCTATTTAAATACAAGGATCTAAACATCTTTGGAATGACTTGTTGGGTGTTTCGCTGTTTCTCTAAATTGCATTAACATTCATTCCATGCACCTCAGCTAGAAACACCAATGAAATTTTCTCTTTTTTCTCATTTCCAACAACTAATTGGTTTTTTAAGTTCTTTACATAGCTTTTAAGTTTGTATCCTCCTTCCTATTTTCATTGCCTTGATATTTTAGTCCCTCAACATTTCTTGCCTGAAATACAATTCCATTTATCAAAAAACAATGAGATTTCTTTCAATGGCACAAATCCAAGAAAATACTTTTCACACCTTAAAGATAAAGGTTTTTCACTGCTTCAAAAATAAAACATCAACCTCCTTGTCATGGCAACAATCATCTTTAGGACTTAATAAACTGGTCACATTTTAGTACAATATACTTACAACTCTTTTTCAGAAACAAAACTGTTCTTCCTCTTCCTAGAATCTATAACTGTACCTTATTCTTTCAAATGGAGGTTACATGTTCTTTTCGAAATTCTCTCAAATAGTTCCTGGTGGTTCTTTGCTCCATCCACTGAGCAGAGTTATATATCTGTATTTTAACACTATTTATATACTATTAAAATCATGTTTCTTTCTCCTCTGCTAGAGTATTTGGAGTAGAGTATTTTTACCCTTGCAGTGTCTTATAGTCTTTTGTATTTTTAACCCAAAGTGAAAAATGCCAGAGTATTTTTCAAGTTTGTGTGATTTAAAGATTAAGTTCACAAGTCAGTCAAAATAGAATGCTCATTTTCTCTAAGAGTTGCTTATTCAAGATTAAGGTAAAATGAAGTCATTTCCTATGTTCATATATGTAAAATACATGTAAAATCAATGTAAAATAGGGTGTTGCTTTAAGAGTGCAAAACATTTTACAAAATTAATCACTAAGGTCTTGAAAATGTATTATAAACTGTATCATTCCATTTCTCATTCTTGTAAAAATGGTAGTTATGCATATCTCAGAAATTGCTAAAACCTCTAATAAGCAAGTGAATCCTTTGAAATTGTATTCAAATTGATTGATTAAAATTCTACAAAAATATATACATAATTAACATGAAATAGAAACACATTTCACCTAACAGTTTATGAGCAATTACAATGTAATTAGTGACAGGGAATATTAATGTGACTCATAATGTAAATATACATTTATAATGTAGGAATTCAAAATAATTTTGATTAAAATATCAAGTAACTAACAACAGTGTTTAAGAGCTGTAAAACATTAATTATCAAATAACTGTTTTTCAACATAAGGCAAATTATTTGTGTATGTATTGCTTTGTTTTATCTTTGTCTTTAAATAGCAATTTATATCATTTTATTAGTCATCCTCCATACTCACATTAGATAAACTACATCTACAACATGCAAGAGAGTAAAATGTAAAGAAAAAACTTACTCAATTCCATGATAGTGACATACTGAGGCTTTTTCAAAAGGTAAAACCCGAAGTTTCCGAGGACTGAGTTCTGGTGTCAGAACAAAAGTCTTTTCCCTGAAACAAAAAGTCTTACATTTGTATTTAAGGCTTAAATGAGAAAGAAAAAGCTCAATTAAGTGTCTAACACAGTAAATCTGACTTCCTCCTCTACAGTTAAATCTTATATGGGATAAAAAATAAGTTACACCAGAAAGCATATAAAGGAAATTAAGCAGGGTTAGGCCTATATATTTTGTCACTTAAATTTTCTGGGCCTTTAGTTTCCAAAATTAGAATGTGACTATTTCACAAAACTATTTCGAGAAATGATAAATCAAGAATGGTGAGTGATTTGCAATGGGAAATTAAGCAGCAACACTATCCCTAAAGGTTTCCCCCGCCTTGGTAGAGTAAACTGGTATTTATGCATCTAGTTAAATTATTTTTTGTGATGAAATAATTAAAGTCAAACTGAGCTGATGATAACAAAAGAAGTATTTACTTCCCATTACAACAAATGGGGTGGGGGGCAGACTTTCCTTTGCCTGGGAATTTAGATGTCTTGACCTCTATTTTAGGCAATCTTTTAAATTTCAGAGATATTTAGAGATTAACTCCTGACCCCCATTCTTCTGAAGCTGGTTTTCAATCAGAAGATAAGTTAGAACTAATGACACAGTAAATTCACATAAAATACTTATGGTCAACCACTTCCACACCCAGATCTGCGGGGATACATCAAAATCTCCGGAAGGTTAGTACAATTAGGTTAAACTCTCCTGGTTATTCTGACACGTGCCTGCCCTCTCTGCCTAAGTTAGGGATGAGTGATCTAATGCACTGGATTGTACTCCTGAAGTTGGTTACAAGTTAGAAAGGAAGGGAGAATTATGTGTCCGTGGTTATCAGACAGAATGAACACCAGGGACTTGAATTCAGAAGACTTGGAAATGTTATAAAGAAAGGGAAGAGAGTAGAGGATGAACACAGTAAAGTACCAAGAATGAATTTGCTATCACATTTTTTTCCTATAGCATTAGTAATGAAACTGCTCTTTTGCCACCAAAAATTACCTAGTGTGCTGTAAGTGCTTAAAATTATTACATGAAAAACTATAAATATAAGCAATATATTAATAATTTATTAATGGACACCCCAAACCAAAATTGATATTCAAATGATGAACCCACTTAACATGTTCCACAAAAAGTAACAATAAAAAATGAACAATAACATAATATATACAAATTTTTAAAAAAATAACCACAATAAATTGCAACAACACAGTATTCATAACTGATTATTATAATGAAAAATTCTATAATATAGAACTCTTTAGGTACCTAGCATTTCATTTCTTTTCTTTACCACGTTGCATTCCAGTTTTTATTTTAGTCTTTCTTGGCAAGCTTATCTACTTTCGTTTAATTTTACTCATATCTTGTACTTTTTAAAGAAACATTTTAACAGATATGTTTTTTGTCAATGTCAATATGTGAACATTTCATTGGCAGATACATAGCAGTCATATCAACACTTGGTTCATTTTGGACGGCTCCTTTTAAAGGTAGACATTTAATAAGAGTATATAGGTTCTTTATTCATTGCAATGAGAGCTCATTCTTCAAGTTCAATGTTAATAGATATATTTGATAATTACAGAATTCTATACTGTCAAGGAACTATATCAAAGCTTCCTAGATACTATTACTCGTAACCTACAGAAAGAATTAAGTATTTCTCCCCTACAACACTGCATCTAGAAACATTCTGTTCCAAAAGAGTACAACCCTCATAATCAATTTTGGCAAACCCATCTGACTGCCAATTTATGCTGAAGGATTTAGAAGGACAATCATCCAAAACTTAATAGATGAAAATGTATATGAACTTCACTTTCTTGATTCCCACAATACCGGGTATCCATCTCTCAAAGCTCTGAGCTATGAAAAATTACTCCTAAATTACAAAATGTTATATCATTAAGATCATGAGTTATAACGATGCTCAAGTTTTCAAAATTGCTTCCTATCTCTGGTGGGCATGCACCTAAAGGCAAAATGTTCTTATCATAACTACTTTCAAATAAATTCTTTCCAATTTTTACCTTGAAAATCACTACTATTTACCAATAGACGCTTTGCAAAAGTGGTCTATAATTTTTAAGGTCTGCTGGCAGGTTTTCAAAATAAGGGATTAATAATTAAAACAAAGTGTGATAATGAGCAAATTATTCAAATCTCCCGAGTATTTGGTGTCACAATTTTGCCTGTAGTTAAATCAACTTCAGACACACCTAGCATTTACTAATCAGTCACTCAGTGGAAGTTGTCATATAAGTCAAAATTGTTGTAAATTATTCATGTAGATACTGGGTTTTTACTTGGCAATGTTAGTTTCAAAAGCATTTTCATTACACCACCCTTTTTTCTCTTCAGTTGAAAGGCTGTACTTTTGCAACTTTAGGCATGACTGACAATGTCATGACAAGTAAATCAAAACCAGAGAATAACAGAAAAGATTTTAAAAAAATGTGCAAGTCAAATGATAATTTTTCTTAAAAAAGTACTATCCTTTGTATTCAAAATAGAAACTAGTGACTTCTATAGGGAATATACTGACATTGCTTTTATTATTCCTACTTCCCTTGTATTCAATACCAAAACATTTGGTAAAGGTAAAATGTGAGAAAGTCAACTTAAACAGTAGGATAAAACCTGTGAATTCTACTTAAGTGTGCCATGCAGCACCATTTAATTGGGGAAGTGAGCTAAAATGTTTGCAAAAACAATTTTTTTAAAAAAATGGAAATTTTAAGTTTATAACTTACCCCTTCTGAATCTGTAAAGGTTGAAGGTCTCCTATTGGTAATCCATCTGAGGTAAAGAATTTCAGCAATTCTTTAGCATCTAATAATGTGATTGAATCCCGTGGACCCTCTTTATGACCAAGCAGTTGTTCAGATGAAAGAGGTAATGAACCAGTTCTGGAAAAATAATGTTACACAGATTTATTAAAAGTGGATTAGAATTCATTATAGTCAAGAAAGGTTGACATGAGCAGAAACCAGGAAAATACACAAAGAAAACTTAAGAACCAACCTTTAGGAAAGAAAAGAAAGTAAAATATTTGCAAATAATTTTATATCAAGGTATATTTTTAAAAATCTATTATATAACAATGAAACTTGAAGTTACCATGTCAACATTATGACTTAACTAAAATAAACATAATTATATTCTTTATAAATAATGGCAGGATTATTTAGTGTAAAGTTATCAATTTTAGAATTTAAATCTCAACTTTCTTGTATGTTCCAAACCCCACAATATTGCAATTTTTAAGGACAGAGACCAAATGTTCCAATTTTCCAAGGAACTTGAAAGATTACTTGAAGCACAACTATGAAATATGACCGTAATAAGAAATCTCTCCAAGGTCTCTTCGGGTCATGATTATGACACTGTGCAAAGGACTGAAACATTATTATTACTTGAAATATATGTAGGACTTTATACTTAAAAACTACTTCACATATAATATATTCTTAATCCTCACAGATTTCCTTAAAAAAAAAAAAAAAAAAACCAGAATAGGCCCTATCTCAAAATGAAGTAACACCTGAAAGTAAGTATGGTGTAAAGTGAAAATCAGCATACCAAACCTAGAAAACAATCATTATTCCTATTTTTCAGATATAAATACTAATAATAGGCTGCATTACAGAACCAGAGTGAGAACTGTTTAAAATGACAGAGTAAGAACTAGACTAATTTTGAATGAGGTACTCTACTTTCTAATTAGATACCCTAACTTCTTTCTTTTTTTTAAATATCTTTTTTCCTTTCTTTTTTATTGAGGTCACATGGGTTTGAAACACTATGTTTTTTTGTTGTTGTTGTTGTTGTTTAGAGAAAGAAAAAGTTTATTGAGGAGAAAAAGAGTAGAAATAAAGTGGGACTCCCAGGCCATGAAACCAGGCCAGGGAGGGGCAAGGAAGCCAAAGTGGAGTTGTGTCCCAGGGAATATAGACCTTCTTTCCCTGATTATTCTAAAGCTCCACCAGTCTTTTTGTGATTGGTTAGTTCTCGGCTGTCTCACTTAATTTGCTACTGAGTGGGGGATCTTCACATTCCTTATCTAACAGGTCTGTCTTTCCCCATTTGTTGCATCTTTATTTTATTTTTTATTTTTTTTTATGATTCCCAGGAGTCTGTTTTATTTTTCAGAATGACTTCTCATAAGTTATTTTACAAGGTCAGGGACATTCCGGAGAATTAGTGAGGGTAAAGGGTCCCATAATTTGCTTAAAATTTTTTTTTTAATTAATAAATTTTATTTTTATATTCCCCATACAATTGCAATCCCCCATTCTGACCCCAATCCCTCCCCTCCCGCCCCCCAACCAGGAAAATGAATAACTATAAGAAAGTGACAATCAAAATCAACAAAAACTATGAACCTGAAACACTATGTATTAAGAGGTACAGGATTACACCTGCTCAGATGGCACATTACCACACCACATCCATTACCAAAGCACCCATAGGTGGTGCTCTGCCAGGGTGCATTGAGCCCCAGCTACCCATTTGCTCTCCACCCTCCCCCTCTTGATCTGTAGCCTCAATTTTAGTACATTTCTAGGATGTGTATGGTTTGGTTTTGTCTGACCCTTTGTTTTGTTTCTGTCTATTCTACATATAAATAGAACCATCTAGTATTTGAATTTCTCTGTCTCACTCACTTACCTAGTATCATCCCCAGTTACATCCATGTTGCTGCAAATGGCAAGAGCTCATCTTTTTTTAATAGCTAAGTAGTATTCCATTCTGTATATATACCACATCTTCTTAATCCAGTCATTTGTCTTTGGGTACTTAGGTTGCTTCTATAACATGGCTATTGTAATTAGTGTTTTTGCATTCTTCAGAGAGCTATCTAGGAATGGAACTTCTGGGTCAGATGGTAGTTTTTCAGTATTTTGAGAAACCCCAGTACTGTTTCCATAGGGGCTGGACCAGTCTACATTCCCATCAACAGTGTAAGATGGTTCCTTTTCCTCCATAGCCTCATAAACACTAGTTATTTCTGGCCTTTGTAATATGGGCATTCTCACAGGCGTGAGACAGTTTCTCATTATAGTTTTGATTTGCATTGCCCTAACAAATAAGTGATAATGAACATTTTTTTCATGTGCCTGTTGGTCATCTGCATGTCTCTTTGGAGAAGTGTCTAGTCACTTCTGCCCATTTTTTCATTGGGTTCTTTGTTTCCTTATTCTTGACTTGTATGAGTTTTTTCGTAGCTCTTGGCTATCATCCCTTGTAGATGCAGAGTGTGTATATTTTTCTTATATTTCAACAGTGTCTTTTCATTTTATTGCTTGTTTCTTTTACTGTGCAGAAACTTTTTAGTTTGATATAGTCTCACTGGTTTATTTTTGCTTTTGTCTCCCTTGTCCTCAAAGTCATCACTGAAGACAAATTCACAGAGTATTTTGCCTGTTTTCTATGTATTTTATGGTTTCAAGTCCTGCATTCAGGTCTTTATTCCATTTTGAGTTAATTTTTGGATATGTGAGACAATGGTCTAGTTTCATTCTTTTGCATGTGGCTGTCTAGATTGCCGAATGCCATTTCTTGACAAAACCTTCCTATCTCCAATGTATATTCTTAATTCCTTTGTTGTAGAGTAACTGCCCATGTAAATGTGGGTTTATTTCTGGGCTCTCAATTCTATTCCATTGTTTTGTGTGTCTGCTTTCGCTCCAGTACCATATTCTTTTGATTCTTTTGATACAATACATTTTGAAGTCTGCAAATGTGATATTTCCATTCTTTCTTTATTTTGTCAGTATGGCTTTTGCTATTCAGGATCTTTTATGTTTCTATGCAAAATCTTAGTAATGTTTTTTCTATTCCTTTGAAGAAAACCATTGAAACTTTGATAAGGATTGTATAGAATTTGCTTTGTGTCTAAGATATTTAAATATTACCTCATTTTTTGTTTAGCTTTTTCAAAAGTTTCCAAATTTTGAAGAACATGCCTTTCTGGCCATTCCAGAGGATTATTTTCCATTGGATATGAAGAAACAGGTTCCTCTGGACTAGGTTCTAAAGAAAAAGAAAGACACATAAGTACCAAAAGGTATTAACAAATTGAATTTCTCTATATAAAATATATACATGCAGTCACTTACATACATATATATATATATATATATGCTAAAAATATGCATGTAAAGTCACATTGGATTAATTGTATAAAACTTACATCAGGCATCTATTAAGATATTTCTGACAGCCTGAAATGTGTAAAATGCCACAGTAAAGCTTCTCAGAAAAGAAAAAAATTTGGCATGTAAACTTTATTTTACTATCTCCTCATAATAAAAGTTATGAATCAGAACTCAAAAATTAGTACTGTGAGGACTTATGTGGAATAGAAATATAACTGCTATATTTTGTGAAATTAGTTCTAAATGAAAAGGAAACTACTCTGCGGAGAATATATTGGGTAAACTATGTGATTTTCATACAACAAAGAAGAATTAGCAACAGTGCCAGAAAAATTTTTATCTTTAAAAGAGATTGCCTAGTTCTCAAATTTGAATTATAAAATAATCAACATTCTGTTCTCAGGTAAAAGTTACTTTAGAAATAATTACCATTTATCATTAATATAAGATGCTTTCATGTGCACATCTTCAAATAAATCACTAACATTAAATGTTATTTTACTACTAAAGCAATAATATATGCAAGTGTATTCATCTTTCTAGCTGTAAGCTGCAGCGAACTAACATTGAGATTGCTGATAATCCTGTAAGTCTCATCAAAAACTTAAAGGCACAGCTTCCTTTCTCCTAAGTTATGTGTACATCCAAACTGTTTTAATACTGTCAAAATTACTAACTGCACTACTTTCTGGATTCCAAAACTATATGGTTTTTAAATTTGTTTTGAATTATTACACTATTCTAATATGTGGACTGAAAGTTATTGGACATTGGCTGTTTGACTATCATCAACCATGACAAAAAAAAAATCCATTTTATACCATAGGAGACTTACAGAGTAATAATGATATGGTAGTAATTTTTAAACAAAAATGAAAACAGAAACCAACTGCACGTTCTTTTCCCTTTATTTATTAAACAATTTAGACTTGAGTATTTTAAAATATTTTTAATGCCTATGTTGACTGGCCCCACCAAAGCCCATCTAAATAAGCTACTTCCTCTTTCTTAGTAAAAGCAAAGAAATATTGACTATTTTATGAGATCTAATAATCAAACAATCTGCTTTTTAATGTTTACATGACTTTCCACTAGAAATATAAAGGAAAAAATCATTAGTAGTTGGACAAACACCCATATGTGCCATGTATTTTGGCAGCAAGTGCCTAGGCTGCTAATAAAGTGCTTTGTGACTATTCTCCTACCCTCTAAATTCTTATTTATTTAATTATTTATTTTAAGGATTTATTTACATATACAAGAGTTGGGGTGTAGGCTAGAGGTGCAGGGGGGTGAGGGATTCACCAGAGACAGAGTGGGGAGCAGAACAGGTAGATCCACTGAAATACACTGCTGAGGGGAGCAGCGGGCGAGACAGGAGGGGTCTGCCACACCATGTGGGTCAGTTCCCTGGCGGTGGATTGAACTCATGCTGCAGTGGCTGCAGATAGCTTAATAGTGCTGAGACTTAACTCCTTGTACCACTGGGCAGGACCAATTCTTATTTATTTATTTAACCAACAAATATACAACACTTACTTCATAATAGTCAACTCACTAAGCAATTTATAAATGCTTCATTTAATCCTCACAATAATGTGTATCATTTCTAATTTAAAGACAAAAAAACCCCTAAGGCTCAGAGAGGTTAAAAAACATGTCCAGGGCCTCCCCTGGTTGAGTGCTGGGTTGCAAAGCTGCCCGCAGCCTCTGCAGCGCCAGTTTGATCCCTGGCCACCGGAGAGGGTCCCACATGGCACGCAGACCTCTCCTGCCACCCGCTGCTTCCCTCAGCAGTGTACTTCATCACTCTGCCTGTTCTGTTCCCCACTCTGGCTCTGGTGAATTCTCTCGCCCTCCCACGCTTCTGACTGTACCCAGTCTTGTATAAAATAAATAAATACATCTTTAAAAAAAAAAATCACCTCTTTAAACAAAAAAAAACCATGTCCAAGGACACTGAAGGGAAGTTGCAGAACATGGATTCAAACTTGATAGTCCTGCTCCAAAGACCATGCCGTAATTGAGAAGCTGCACTCTCTCACTCAATACAGCCTCTACTGACAAGTAAACTTAAACCTTACAGTGTCTCCAACGTCTTTCAATTTACTTTGCACTGCTATTCAACTTTGGTCTGACAAGTAAAAACAATAATAATGATAACACAAGGACAGCTAACAATTTTTTGGTATTTATTATGTTCTCAGTGTTTTATATGCATCAACTTATTTAATCCTCACAATAACCCTAGTAAAATGGGTAACATTATCATCCCATTTAAAACATAAGGGATCAGAGGCAGGAAGAAATTGAATAACTTCCCCAAAGACATTCAGCTCACAGTGACAAACCTGAGATTTGAACCTGGCAATCTATCTTTCAAGACTGGACCCCTGAATGAAATACTAGATGCTGTATTTATATTTTGCTTTTCTTCTGTTGAAGCCGAAGACTAAAAATTTTACTCCTCTGTGTATTTGCATGGTGTCACGTAGAGAAAGAGCACTCAACTAGCATTAGTGCTAACTTGATTCTTTGGTCATTTTCTTATTAACATACGTAATAAAAATTACTCTCATAATAAAAACAAAAAATTATCTCATACATTTAAAGTTTCAGGCAATCTTTCAATGCTTTTTTATTAGACTGTGAAAAGTTTTACTCTATTCAATTCACCAGAACAGAAACCATGAAAATTAAAAGAAATGTAAGTTAACATTAAAATTATTTCCTGTGAGAACTTCTGTGCCTTCCAGAAAGAGAATTTAAAATTGCCGTGATTAAAAAAATGACAGAACTCATAAAGGAAAACAATGATCAGAAGAAGGAAATTGAGTCCCTAAAGAGGGAAGCAAAAGAAATGCAGGAGATCAAAGAATTAATGGAGGAACTAAAGAACTCTGGGAAAAGCAATGAAAGCAGAATAGATGAAATGGAAGAACGAATAAGTACTCTTGAAGACACAGAAATAAAAAGAACCAAAACAGAAAAGGAAAGAGAAGTACGAAGGAAAAAGACAGAAGACAGACTTCGGGAACTATCTGACTCCATGAGGAAAGGAAATATAAGAGTTATAGGAATTCCAGAAGGAGAGGAGAGAGATGTAGGAACAGAGAAAATATTCCAGGAGATAATTGAAGAGAACTTCCCAAACGCGAAGAAGGAGATGAAAATTGATATACAAGAAGCAAGAAGAACACCAAACTTCCACGACGAAAGGAAAAATACAGCAAGACACATAATAGTAAAGCTCCCAAGAATCCAGGACAAGGAAAAAATAATGAAGCTGACAAGAGGGAAGAAACAGATAACATTCAAAGGAAAACCAATCAGGCTGACATCAGACTTCTCTGAAGAAACACTACGGGCAAGGAGAGAGTGGAGGGACATAGTCAACAGACTCCAAGAAAACAGATGCCAACCAAGAATACTCTATCCCGCAAAGCTCTCCTTCCTCTATGAAGAAAGAATAAGGACCTTCCCAGACAAACAGAAACTCTGGAATTTCGTTACGACTAAACCCCCACTCCAAAAAATACTACAAGAAATCCTAAAGCCAGAACCTCAGAGGGACAAATAACAATGAAAGAAGGCCAAAAAAAAAAAAAAAGTTATTAAAAGAATAAATAAATAAAATCAAAGGAAAGACAAACACAATGGCAAATGCAAATGCTAACGTAACAATATTAACTCTAAATGTAACTACACTCTTCAATAAAAAGACACAGAGTTGCAGCCTGGATTAAGAAACAAAACCCAACCTTTTGCTATCTCCAGAAAACACATTTAGCTACAAAAGATAAAAATAGGCTCGAAGTTAAAGGATGGAAAACAATCCTACAAGCAAATGGACCAAAAAAGAAAGCAGGAACAGCTATACTTATATCAGATAAAACAGACTTCAAACTCAAAAAAATAAAAAGAGACCCCAATGGTCACTACATTATGATCAAGGGGACAATACTTCAAGAAGAAATAACACTCATTAACATATACTCACCAAACGAAGGAGCACCAAAATATATCAGACAACTGTTGTCCTCTCTGAAAACAGACATCAGAGAAAACACATACGTAGTGGGAGACTTCAACACACCACTATCAACAATGGATAGATCAACAAGACAAAAAATAAGTAAAGAAACTAAAACTCTAAATAAGGACCTAGAGCATTTGGGCTTAACAGACATCTATAGAACACTAAACCCCCAAAAAACGGAGTACACATTTTTCTCAAGTGCACACGGATCATTCTCCAGTATCGATCACATACTGGGGCACAAGACAAACATCAACAGATACACCAAGATTGAAATCATACCAACCATCTTTTCTGACCATGAAGGCATCAAACTAGAAATAAACCATAAAAAGAAGGCAAGGAACTTTCCTACCTCATGGAGATTAAAAACCACACTACTAGAAGACCACTGGACTAATAAGGAGATCGAAGAAGAAATTAAAAAAATTCTTTGAATTGAATGACAAGGAGGACACCAATATCCTAAATGTATGGGATGCAGCAAAAGCAGTAATAAGAGGAAAATATATAGCAATAGAAGCTCACAACAAGAAACAAGAAAGAACTCAAAGAAACAACCTAATCTCGAAGCTCAAAGATCTAGAAAAAGAACAACAAAAAAATCCCAAAACCAGTAGAAGAAAAGAAATAATAAAAACCAAAGCAGAAATAAATGAAATCGAAACTAAAAAAAACAATCCAAAAGATCAATGAAACCAAGAGCTGGTTCTTTGAAAAAATCAATAAAATAGACAAACCCCTAGCCAGGCTCACAAAGGAAAAAAGGGAGAAAGCACAAATAAACAGGATCACAAATGAAAGAGGAGAAATCACAACGGACACAGCAGAAATCAAAAGAATAATCAGTAACTACTATGAACAGTTATATGGAAACAAGTTCAACAATCTAGAGGAGATGGACAAATTCCTACAACTCTACAATCACCCAAAGCTAGATAAAGAAGAAATAGAATACCTAAACAGACCAATTACAGGCAGCGAAATTGAAATGGTAATCAAAAACCTCCCGAAAAACAAAAGCCCAGGACCTGATGGATTTACAAATGAATTCTACCAAACATTCAGAGACGAATTAGTGCCTGTCCTTCACAAACTCTTCCAAAAAATTGAGAAGGAAGGGACAATACCAAACACGTTCTATGAAGCCAACATTACACTAATACCAAAACTGAACAAGTACGACACAAAAAAGGAAAACTACAGGCCAGTCTTCCTAATGAACACTGATGCAAAAATCCTCAATAAAATTTTAGCTATCAGAATCCAACAATGTATCCATAAGATAATTCACCACGACCAAGTAGGAATCATTCCAGGGACACAAGGATGGTTTAACATCCGAAAATCAATCAACGTTATCCAACACATTAACAAAAAGAAATATAAAAACCATATGATAATATCAATAGATGCTGAGAAAGCTTTCGACAAAGTGCAACACCCATTCATGATAAAAGCCCTTGAAATTCTTGGGATACAAGGAACATACCTCAACATCATAAAGGCCATCTATGACAAGCCAACAGCCAGTATCATTCTCAATGGTGAAAAGCTGAAAGCAATTCCATTAACATCTGGAACAAGACAAGGATGTCCACTCTCACCACTGCTTTTCAATATAATACTGGAAGTCCTAGCCAGAGCAATAAGACAAGAGAAAGACATCCAAGGAATCCAAATAGGAAAAGAAGAAGTCAAACTATCACTATTTGCAGATGATATGATAATATACATAGAGAACCCCAAAAACTCCACAGAAAAACTAATTCAACTAATCAATCAGTTCAGTAAAGTGGCAGGATACAAAATCAACACGCAAAAGTCAGTAGCCTTCCTATACACAAACAATAAATCTGAAGAAGAAGAAATCAAAAAAACCATCCCTTTTATTATCAAAACAAAAAAAATCAAATATTTGGGAATAAATCTAACAAAAGAGGTAAAGGACCTATACAAAGAAAACTATAAAACACTGTTAAAAGAAATAGAAGAAGACACAAAGAAATGGAAAGACATCCCCTGCTCATGGATTGGAAGAATAAACATTATTAAAATGGCCATCCTACCAAAAGCAATATACAGATTCAATGCTATTCCAATCAAAATCTCAATGTCATTCTTCAAAGAAATAGAACAATTATTGATGAAATTCATCTGGAATCACAAAAAAACCCGAATAGCCAAAGCTCTCCTGAAAAAAAAAGAAGGGAATGGAGGCATCACACTCCCAGACTTCAAACTATACTACAAAGCCATAATCATCAAAACTGTACGGTATTGGAACAAGAACAGACATACAGACCAATGGAATTGAATAGAAAATCCAGAAATAAACCCACAGATTTATGGTCAACTAATCTTTGACAAAGGAGCAAAGACTATGCATTGGAGCAAAGAAAGTTTGTTCAATAAATGGTGCTGGGAAAACTGGGTTGCTACATGCAAAAGAATGAAGCTTGACCACTACCTCACACCATACACAAAAATCAACTCAAAATGGATTAAAGAACTAGACATAAGACCTGAAACCATAAAATATATAGAAGGAAATATAGGCGAAACACTACGTGATTTGCACATCAAAGACATCTTTACAGACACATCACCCAAAGCAGTGATACTGAAGGCAAAGATAAACAGCTGGGACTACATCAAATTAAAGAGCTTCTGCACAGCAAAAGAGACAATACAAAGAGAAAACAAAGAGAAACAAAGAGAAACCCCACCGACTGGGAGAACATTTTTGCACACAACACTAATGATAAAGGACTGATCACAAAAATCTGCAAAGAGCTGATGAGACTCAACAACAACAAAGAAAATAATCCAGTCAAAAAATGGGCAGAAGAGCTAAAAAGAAACTTCTCTGAAGAAGAAATGCAAATGGCCAACAGGCATATGAAAAAATGTTCAACATCACTTGTAATCAGGGAAATGCAAATCAAAACTACCATGAGATACCATCTGACACCAGTGAGAATGGCACATATTAAAAAAACTAGCAACAACAAATGTTGGCGAGGTTGTGGAGAAAAAGGAACTCTTCTGCACTGTTGGTGGGAGTGCAAACTGGTCCAACCACTATGGAGAGCTGTGTGGAGATTTCTGGACCTACTAAACATAGAGCTTCCATATGATCCAGCAATTCCACTCCTAGGTATTTACCCAAAGGACACAGAAACATCAATTCCAAAGAACACCTGCACCCCTATGTTTATAGCAGCACTATTTACAATAGCTAAGCTTTGGAAACAGCCCAAATGCCCAAAATTAGATGACTGGATCAAGAAGATGTGGTACATATACACCATGGAATATTGCTCAGCATTCAAAAAAGATAAACACATGCAATTTGCAGCAACATGGATGGCCTGGAAGGGATCATGCTCAGCGAAATAAGCCAAAAAGAAAAAGAAAAATACCGGATGGTCTCACTCATAGCAGGAATCTAGAAAACTTAAATAAGGGACCAGGAAAATGAATAACTATAAGAAAGTGAAAATCAAAATCAACAAAAAACTATGAACCAGAGACACTTTTGGGGGTTGGGGGGCGGGAGGGGAGGGATTGGGGTCAGAATGGGGGGGTTGCAATTGTATGGGGAATATAAAAATAAAATTTATTATTTAAAAAAAAAAGAAAATTATTTCCTGTGCTCTCAGTTAACTTTGGTGACTGTGATAATGAATGGCAAATATGAACCTCTTAGTATATATTGTTTTAACTATGTTGAATTTACTGTGTAAGCAGAAAAAAGAAATCTTAGACTTTGTGACATATGTACTGGTTACTGTAGGAATGGAAAGAGCTGAGGAGAGAAGGGGCTAGGGCCTGGCATGGGAAGTTGGTGGAGGATGAGTGAAGTGTGTGAGCATATGGAAGAGTAATACTGTAACTTCGAAGGTATACAGATATGTAAATGACTGACAAATATAACAATTAAAAAAACAATAAATTTATTGCATAGATTCTACTTTTTTCAATTTATCAAAAACATAGCTTAATAGAAATGTACCATTTCTAGCAGCTTAGTAGAGTATTAGAGGGCTAACCTTAAAAATGCTTCACCCTCTGCCCAAAACACTGAACATGTTTACTGAAAGAAGCAATGAAAGAATTTTAATGCTTAAATGATGAAAAATGCAGCTCATTATTTATACATACATACATTTGCATATACAAATAAATGGCATTACTATGTTTACATGACATATTGATTTGGTCGATACATTAGTTTTAATAATAAATAAGAATTGTCATACATGCCACACACACAAAATAACTAATATTTAAAGTAAAAAAACTTACCATTTAACATATTGGAGGTTTTAATTTCATCTGCCTTTATCAGAACTGTTTTAGGAATTACAGCATCAAAATGATTTAAAAATTGTTCTCTTGTGAGTATTAATAGACTCTTTAGTTCATCAACAGAAACTACTTCAGGCTGCTTTGCCAACTTTCTCCTCTCTGTAAGACAAACACAATTAACCACAACTGATTTTAAAGTCTCTCTTGAGCTTACCTACTATCCTTTTATGGGAAATATTTTCAAAAGTAAAGTACATGAATTTCTCCAGCATTCCTGTGGAGGCCTGCTTTCATTTTAATCCCATTTGTAGGTAATGGCAGAATTTCCAGCTATGTGAAATAAACAGAAAAAAAGTAATTTGTTCACACCAAAAGGTGATAAATGGTAACAGCAAGTTTCAAAAAGATCTCAGAAATATACTGCAGAGAATTAGGAATGGCCTTGTGTTAATGTTTATTTGAAAATAAAATCGTAAGACCTTTAAGTTAACGTGGTTGCTTGGCTACTTCATCTCTTTCTTTTACTTCCCAAAATCTAACATAGCAAAGGAATCAAGAAGGACAACAAAAGAAGAAATGATAAATAGTAACAGTTTTCAAAAAATTTGGAAGACAAGATGATGATGGTGTGGTAACTGAGTCAGCAGAGCAGAGGAAGAGTCAATTTGGGTGCCTGCAGAAAGGCAGTACCTCTGAGGTTCTAGGAAGAAGGTGGCAAGCTAAAATTCCATAGGAGTTATCAGTCAAATAAATAAATTTTCAGACATGCATGAGCTGGAAAAATGTCTAGCCCATGAACTTTTACTCAAGAAGCAACTACTAGGAGACATACTCCAGCCAAACAAGGGGGTAATTCAAGCAAAAGGAGGACAAAGGGGATCAAAACAGGAAATTCGAAAAGTATACTCTAGAATATCAGCAGGTTTAAGAAGCAATCTATGCATTACAGAGCAAAATATTAAAGAGAAATAAAAAGGAACTCATGTTTGAGCATTCAGCCAAATGGGCAAATTAATAATAAGGTGTTTACCAACCACAAGAAAAACAAGGAATATACAAGAAAGAAGAGCTGATCATGATCCTACATTATGTGACTCAGCAGTGAGCTATGTACACAATGATCCTACTGTTAAAACTGACCAATGGGCCTCCCCTGGTGGCGCAGTGGTTGAGCGCTGGGCTGTGAAGCTGCCTGCAGCCTCTGCAGCACCGGTTCAATCCCTGGCCGCTAAGAAGGGTCCCACATGGCACAACAGACCTCTCCTGCTGTGCCCGCTGCTTCCCTCAGCAGTGTATTTCATCACTCTGCCTGTTCTGTTCCCTACTCTGGCTCTGATGAATTCTCCCACCCTCCCGCGCTTCTGACTGTACCCAGTGCTTGTATAAATAAATAAGTAAATCTTTAAAAAAAAAAAAAAAAACTGACCATTGATTTAACCAAAATTTATGACTTACTGTATAAAAGGTAGAAAAAGAAAGTGAAGATGATGTGGGAAAGCTAAGCCTTTATTTTCCATATTTAGATGTTAAGATAATGTCTGCAAGTAGTAAATCAAGAAATAGTAACACACACACATACAAATATTACTGACAAACTGCGAATGTCAGGAAAACCAGCTGGAAGAGCTGAAAGTAGCTGCCTACAGGTAGAGATAGAAAGAGAGAGGAGAGGAGTGGGTAGGGCACCACTGTTTTTCATTTTAAGATTTACAGTGCCATTTGAATTTATTAACTATATTCATGCATTATTTTTATAAAATTATTTCATTTAAAAAACACTCGACTAATAATGGTTTTTTCCATAGTAAAGTAGTAAGCTATATATTCAGAGAGAATTCAATATTTATCAAGTATGTACTGCCTGAAAAACTCAGTACTATACCCTTAGACTGAGAATGTAAAGCACATCACACTACACTACATGTGGTTGGTACATACATAATGCAAGAGTAGGCTGAGAAGTAGCCAGTCTCTCAAGGTTCTACTTTAGAACATCAGTTTTATGATAAACACCTTGTAAAATGCCACCTTACCAACGTGAATATTGGTAAGGTTAGTCCAATTCTGATCCAAGATAAATAAAACATGATTTCTGTAGTTAAGAACATTAGTGATGGCAAAGCAAAAGAGTTGTAATATATGCTGCTTTCATTATAGCTCCTTGGTGCCTCATTGCTTTTTATTTTCTACACGATCTGCTGGGAGCCACCTAAAACAAAAGGTTATCAATGTTTTGCTTTCATCTGAAAGATGCATAAGAACTGTGCTTCAGAAATTAGCCCTATATTTTTAATAATGCTAAATATATGCTTAAATAATAAAAGTGACCTATGCTTATTAAAACTGTCAATTATATTACAATATTGGAAAATCTGGAGAGCAGGTAAGACTTGATACTGACCTTGATGGCTGAAAAACAGAGGGAGAAATATTTAGTTTAATAGGGTTATCAGCAGGAGATAATTTACCTTGGTGAAAAAAAAAAAAAATCCCTACACAAATGAGTTTGCACACTAATGTCTAAAAATGGACCAGTAAAATAATACTATTCTTTGGAAAGCACATAATTGAGGATGAGTTATCTAAAAGTGTTTAGTTTAGAGATGAGTATCTTATATGTCAGCAGGATGAGCATCAATCAGGTTTGCACTATTTTCTATAAAATTAAAAAAGATTTGGGTACTCACAACAGTGACCATAAAATACTGGAGCAAAATAACCATGTGCTCTTATGGTGTTTGTTTTACATCAGACTGAAAAAGTCTTTTATTTAAAATTATTTAGCATACTTATATTTTTTGAAAATCAATGGAACAACATACTAAATATTTCCAAATACAAGAAAGCTATCAATTATTAAAAGTCAAGTAAAATAGATACTATAAAATTACAGATGTTATATACCATTCCAATAGTATTAGATATATTTTTAAGACTGAGTAACACTAATGAAAATATATTCTAAAAAATTAAACTAACAGAAATGTTATTTATGTGCCATTTAAAAAAACAAAGTGTCTTAGGGGCCTCCCTGGTGGCCTAGGGGTTAAGTCTCAGCACTCTCACCCTGATGATCCATCACTGTGGCCTGAGTTTGATGCCCAGCCAGGGAGCTGACCCATATGGTGCAGCAGACCTCTCCCGTCTCCCAGCTGTTCCCCTTAGCATTGTATTTCAGTAAATCCCCTGTTCTGCTCCCCACTCTGATGGATCCTCTCACTTCCCTTCCTATACCTCTGGCCTATACCCCAGTTCTTCTATGCAAAAAAAAATTAAAAAAATAAAAAGTACCTTAATAATATTGTATATTAATTCTCTGGCTAGGGAAGAGATTGGTTCAGCAAGTATTTCCATCATAAATAGATTAACTGGATCATTAATTTTAATCAAGATTTAATGCTTCAGATTGCAAATTGATCATTTCATGGGTATGCTGGTGAATCTGGCAGCTACTTGCACTAAGATTTCCTTCCACTTCAGGCCTCTACCTGCCCTTGTCCCTTGCCCTTTGGCAACCACTGTAGCATCCTTACAGTTGCTGGTATTTGTACATTTTAAGTGCTTATTAGCATTGCCACTTCCCCCTTGCCAAGGCAGAGCTTCCAGTCACACCTGTTCGCAGCAACCTAGTTAGAGCTGTTAGCATTTCCCTTCCCAACCAAGCAGCAGAGATGGCCTGACTGAGGTTAACTCTTCCTACTCAAAGGAGAGATGCATGCATGCACCAGCTTCAGAGAGCTGCCTGTTCTTCTACCCTGGCAGCTTTTCTGGTTGGAAGGGTAAGGGAGAGGTGAAGATGAAAGAGTGGGGGTAAGTGAAAAGAACCGAGTTATAAAAAGCTACAGAAGGCTTATTGCGAGGAATCAGGGGCTGAAGTGGGTTTGGTAGGATAAAACAAAGTCAAGAAGTGAATAATATTGGGGTTTAAGGTTTGGATATAGGTTTTCTACCCACAAAAATACTAATAGTTCAATATTTATGTTTTTCTTGGTTTTTAACATGTACTACCTTTATTGAAACTGTCTAATTTGTCCTTGAAATAGGTGAAATGTGCTCATATAGTTATTACTATTGATGAACATGATTAAAGTCAAAATCAAAGCTCAAGTTAATATGTAAACTTCTCTGGATTTCCATTTTCTTCTATTTACTGTCTATATTCTCCATTTATAACCGTGTGTGTGTGTGTGTGTGTGTGTGTGTGTGTAGATTGATACTAACTAGATACTAACCAGAATAACAAAACTTAGGTATCTTTCCCGGCATTCAGTTAAAAGTTTTTTTACTACTTTATATCATTTCTATCAAAAATAGTTCTACAAATGAGTTTAACACCTAAAAGACAAAGTGTATAAGAAAAAGTGTGAAAACAACAATGCATTATGTCTCAACAAGCCAGTATTTACAGGGGGAAGAAATATATAAATTGTTACTTACTCAGACATTCTTTCAAAGCCAAGGCTTGAACATCAGCTAACTCTTTCTCTCTCTGTATAAGCTGCTCCCCAGAAAAATGTGGAAGTGGCAATAAGTCAAAAGGGAAGCCTGAGAAACAAACAAAAAAAAATTAGTATTAAAGATGATCTATGACAACAATTAATGTTCAGGTCCCAGGAAATGTTTTAAAAGTCAATTATATATCTCTTGATCTTGCAGATTTCAAAGTAAAGAACAACAGTTAGGTTGTAGAAAACAAGCATACTAAATTACTTCATATTTTAAACTTTGACACAGTTCTTAAATATTTAAATAACAGGGTTTCTGTTCCCTCCATCACATTATCTTCCACCTGACCTGCTCAGCTTTTGAAACTCCCACACAAAACACAGCTGGGGATAGCGGCCAGTCTCCCTCCCTATGAACAATATTTCCTGCTACTCACACATAGCTCTTCCACAATGAATCCAGGCTGATCCCATGTAAACAACTAGATATGATCAAAGTGGCACTGAATGACTTCTAGGTCACAGAGAGCCTCCAAGCTTCTTAAAACAACTGTTCTTAGTGAAATAAGACTACCCTGAGACTATGAAGTTGGTGAGGAAGCTCAGGTTGGCCTCAGGAAAGAGCACACCAGGAGACAGTCAGCTCTCACTTGTTCCAGCCATCCTAACCAGGTGCTGGGGTAAAGAAGCCACCTCACACATTAAGTCCTGTTAAGTCTTCAAATGGCTGGAGTCTCAGTTGTATGTGACTGCAGTCAAGTGTAGGACTTCAAAACAGACACATCCAGCTGAGCCAGTCAACGCTGGACTAGGAGAGGAGACATAATCATAACATTTTGGGGTAGTTTGCCATGCAACTGTATATAAACAAACACAGAGGTTGTAGAGAAAAGATGAACAATTAAACAGAACAAGATGCTTGTTCTGAGATAAAATGATAAATAAATTACAGAAAAATAATGTGTTTAAAGTAAAAAATACTAAACCTTTCCTATTTGAAATTGATGGCTGACCTACTAAATTTTACTATAAAGTGAAATGAATTCTCTTCACTCTAAATTGTTCAAATACAGTATGTTTAAAATAAAAGGTAAATTTGCCTGTGACTATGCAGGTGCCTCTCTTTTTCTTTCTCCATTACCTAATAAACCTGTCCTTTTAAAATGCAAAAATAATAATAATAATAATAATAATAATAAAAGGTAAATTTATTAAAAGTCAAATGGAGTTTGGGGAAAATAAGTTCATTTAAAAAAATCACAAATTAATATGAACACAGACAAATGTAAAAACATTTTCCACTTAAAGTTAACACTTACTCAGTTCAGCTTCTTCTGTCCTTGCTTTCATCTTTCCATGAATTAGACTGAGTGCAAATGAGCCATTGATCTGGTTGGCTGAATAAATCAATGTGGCTTTACATTTTCTACTACCATTCCCTTGTAACAACAGATAATAGCTAGAACACTCTCCTTTCACTTCAACATCTGGAACTAAACAAAAACAATTATTTTGCGAAGCATGTGAAAATTCAGCAAGTAACATGGCAATATCATACACTAACCCACAGGGTATAATATTTCTATGTTATTTTAAAGCAAGCTCTTTTCCAATACATTTGGGGCCAGTAATTGTTCATTTAACCAAGGCAGCCATAAATGCAGAGAATCATAACAATAATGATACAAACTATAAACATTTTACTTTAAATTAAATCTATGTACATTCACTCATTAACTCTTTTTTTTTCTTTTTTTTTTTTTTTTTTAATAGAGGCATGTTATTTATTTATTTGTTTGTTTGTTTGTTTGTTTTGTTTATACATGCACTGGGTACAGTCAGAAGCGCGGGAGGGCGAGAGAATTCACCAGAGCCAGAGCGGGGAGCAGAGCAGGCAGAAGGACCGAAGCACACTGCTGAGGGGAGCAGCGGGCGGCAGGAGAGGTCTGCGCGCCATGTGGGACCCTCCTCCAGTGGCTGGGGAGCAGCCGGGGTCGAACCAGCGCTGCAGAGGCCGCAGGCAGCTTTGCAACTCAGCGCTCAACCACTGTGCCACCGGGGAGGCCCATTTACTCATTAACTCTTGAGGTGGCTCACTAGAATTCCAAGAATATGGATCTTATGTAACATAGCCATAATATGTCAACTACTATTTCCAGCTTCGTATCTTCACAGGGGAATAAATCTACCCCTACAAGAATACACAAGCCAACTGGTGGGACGAAAGCTGTACAGATCTACTGAAGAGCAGCTTTTTGTGTCTTGCAGTGGGCATCCGTAATGTATTTTACAGAGGGAATAGAGAACATGCATTAATCTGGCATGCCACTTACATGAAGGTCAGTTAAGATAGCTTCTAGCGTTTTTTTTTTTTTTTTTGTGGGACCCTCGCCGGCGGCCAGGGAACGAACCAGCGCTGCAGAGGCTGCAGGCAGCCTCGCAGCCTAGCGCTCAACCGCTGCGCCACCAGGGGAGGTCCAGCTTCTAGTGTATTTTAAAAACAAATCAAGTGAGGGTTACAGTGAAGGTTGAAGAAAAACTGTGACACATTAAAAAGAGTAGCAGAGTACTTTTTGTTGAAGATAGTGAATTGGACATAGCATTTATTTTCACTATCTCCTGAAGTTCCATGAAAAGAGAATAAAGATATTTAAAAAACATAAAAAGCATAAATCTTAGTGAAATCAGTCAAATGAAGAAATCCAAAACACAGTATGATTTCACTCATACATGATACTGAAAGAAGAAAGCAAAAAGAATGAAGTAAATATAACAAAACAAACTTTTTTTTGATTATAAGAGCAAATTAGTAATTACCAGAAGGGAAGCGGGAAAGGAGATGAACAACTGGGAACAGACCTCAGTCACGTCAGTGCTAAGGAAAATTAGGAAAACAGTAGAGTGGAGAAAACAGACAAGAAGCATAATTATACTACAAACACCCAACAAGAGACTTCGGGGTGATGGCTACAGGCAACTTGGAAGCAAAACGAAGGTGAAGTGAAACAGGAAGATAAGTTGAAAGTCTGTTTGAGAACTAGCTTGGTTTCCTGACCTTTCCTATCCAGGCAAATGATTTTCCTTTCCTCAGCTCAGAAGACTATTGGTTTATTCTCTGTAGAAAGTTAAGAACTGGCCTGCTTGTAGAAATGTGGTCAGTCCTACAGGAGACTGAGGAATCCCAACACTGGGGGGCTATCTAACGTGATGGCACAGCCAGAGCTAATGATAAATTATTAGATCATTAAAATTAAGATCACAGTGGTCAACAAGCTCTACCCAGTGCTCAAATTTTCTAATCAGGTTTCTTGTGCTCTCTCTTAAATATGGCAGGCAGCAAAACACTACTGGACTTTGAAGAAAGTCTGTAGTATGGAAACTAGATGCCAAAGGAAACAGCAAAAAAGAGGCTTATCGAGTAATTAAGAACAAGCAGCAAAAATCAGAAAGCCAATGACCTACAGCTCCCACCCACTTCCCCACCTCCTCACTCCCTAGCCTCTGCCAAATCTGCGCCACTGCCTGATTTTGTAAATAGTTTTACTGGACTGCAACTACTCATACTCACTTACTTATCACCTAGAACTGCTCTAGAACTGCCCCAGCACAGAAGAGTCGAGTAGTTGAAATCCTGAAACCTTGAAAACACGTACATGAAAGAAGTTATTCATTAAAACTACACTGTGCAACTACACTTGCATTAAATGTCCATAACAGACAAATCTTTACAGACCAAACTAGATTAGTGGTTGTGGAAAAGTTGGTAGAATAAGCAGGTGATAGGAACAGGGAGTTGTTGACATGGAGTTGAATTTTCATGTGATGAAAAACTCTAAAATTTATTGTGGCTGCACAACTCTGCAAATAAACTAAAATCCTTAGAACCATATACTTGAAATGGTTGAATTTTATGGTTTTGTAAATTATATCTGAACAGAACTGCTTCTTTTAAATTTATGATTATTTGTTTGTGTCACCCACAAACAAATGTAGGGTTCTGCTCACAAGAAAAGGTCCTAGGATTTTAGGATATATATGTGTGTCTATATATGTATAAATCTATTTGTATATATGTGCAAATATAGACTAAGAAAAAATCTATAACTTTATTACAATACCTTATTTCATAGATATAAACAAACATACTGTGGGTTAAAGTTGATCTATCAAACAACCATGAAATACCAAAATTATTTCTTTTGCAATTAGCTTACAATAGAGAGATTAATCCTTGTTACATACTGATCTTATAAAAGGAATTTAAATAATGGTTATTAGAAAGGAAAGTCACTTGCTGCTACCAGCTGTATTTGAAACTAAGGTCTGCCAAGAGTTACAGTGACCTTAATTAATATACTAACTTAGCATTTTGCAAACTCAAGTTATATGTGTCTCTTCAAACCATGACATCCTTTTCACATTCATTTTAAATCCTATCACCTTTTATTAGCACTTTAATCACTGAAGCTTATAATTACAACAAGCTTATTTTCCTCAAAAGAAAAATATTTATTTTAAAGAACTCCCCTAACACAGTGACTATGCAGTCATTTAAAAAACATTGTTCCAGATCTGTCAACTGTTAATTGAAGACTTATTAAATAACTTTTTAGTAAACACCACAGAGACTAACAGATTTACAATTAGCATAGTTATTCAACTCTTCTAGCTCTTCCTAAAGAAATAAGAGGAAATGATTTTAACACAAAATTTCTCCGTATTTTCAGCTGTGATTCTTAAGACTATCAACTTAGCTTGATTGGCTTGCATGCCCATTTCCATCAAAAACAAACATCCATTTTGGATGTACTATAAAGGTAAAGTAGGAGGAGGAAAAGAAGAAAGTACAAGTGTTTGCTAGTTGTATCAAATATTCAAATAATGTATAAACTAGTTATGAAAACATGTCTCATTATTAACTTCATTAGCAACAAAATTCTAGTCCAAGAAAAATCAAGTGCTATATCAATAAGGTTCTCAGGATTCTTAACTGTAAGAAATCACTTTTACTGGAACAGCTCAACAGTATCATAATATGAACAAAATCATAATATGAAGGGGCAATAATCCATATATCATAGTCCATATGGTATAATTAAAAATATGCAGGGTGATCAGGGAATAGAATATTCAAGTTAAGTGAATGTTCTGATATACTGACAAGAATTATATACATTCCGAATTATATACATTCCTTAAGAATCAATAAAATATCAATTATTTTGATAATCATGCCCAATATTATATAAAACAAAATTCAGTTTTCAATGTATACATTTTAGGAGGATACATACTTTCCAACAATGGTATCACTGATCAAACAACTTAGAAGCAATTTTTGAAATGGCCTGTAGGGTCAACGGGGGTAGCACAACAAAAACAACAAATTACTTCATATTCATAAAGCATTTTCCAAAGAGTGTGTTTGCCTCCCACCTCATTCCTCAGACTAAACTTTGAATGATCAAGCATAGAACTTAACTACCACTCAGGCTGTCCAAGAAAATACTAGTTGCTCACTTCTAGCAAGAATCTAAAATGGTTTAAGAAATGATAGATTGTTGAATAGGTGTATGAAGCCTCCAATTGTGAAGATTACAAAACTGCAGATGGATTTATTATTTCCACCAGGACTATTTTAAACAGTAAGTTTAGGATCACAAGCTATATACATTTTCTCTTAATCGCAACACAATAAAATACACAATTTGAAAGCTAAAAGGAATAAAGGAGGTATTGAGAAGATAATTCAAGATATTACTATTATGAACAATGACCTCTTTATTGTTTCATACAAACAGAAAATACTTCAGACTGGACCGAATAAGAAAGAGCTAAGGCAGAGCGTATAGTGTTTACCTTCACTACCAATTGTTAGTTCAAACAAATTTGTGAGATACACTAAAAATTACCCACATTTTCTATCTAAGGAGTTAAAGTTCTCAAATCTTGATTGTTCTTTTTTTCATAATAAATTCAATTTTTACTTAGAAAATCTGAGTTGTATCCATTGGCTTTTTATTACTTTCATTGAGGTAACATTTTTTATAACACTGTATATGACTCTTAATCCTCTTTCTACCTGAAAGTATCTGAAGGGCTCTCTTCACTAGAAGTGGGTCTCTAGCCTAGGGTTTAGAGAACTCACTAGGCGAGGTTCTTCATCTTGGGAGCACATTGAGACATGGGGGTGCTTTATAAACTATTGAGGCCCTGGTTGCCTGCCCACAGATCTGGATTAAAGGATTCTCAGAGAGGATCCAGCTTGACTTTCTTTCCTTTTTTTTTTTTTTTCTCAATCTCTGTGAAGGTGATTCTAATGTAAGCTGGTGTTGGGAATCACTGAAATAGAAGTAGAAACAGAACTCTGCATTTACGTCTAGGGGCTTTCAGGTGATTTCTCAAAAAAAAAAAAAAGATTTCAATAAGGTATAATTTGCAGGTATATGTACATGTGTATATGTACATGTATGTATATACATCTATGTCTAAG